TCATTTATTATCAATTACTTCACCCTAAATAGTTCAATCTAATAGAATAGAAAAACCGCATTCCATTAGATTATTGTAATAGTATAATAATATCTAGATTTCAATACTATGTTAACCATGCTGCTTCCGCGCCATTGAGAAACATTCAACTGTTTAGATATATGCAGTCTCGTCAGAGACTTTAACGTCGGTTGGATCATCTTGGAAAACCCATTTGACTCGAGCACTATCATAATAACGAGCGACGTGTATCAGAGCGGTAACCCCTTCATTTCTAAACTATGATAAACTACCACTCCTTCTACTGCCAGGAATTTGACTCCATGATTTATGCTAATACGACGAACCTACCTCAAACTAACCTACGCTAAACGCTCTATTAGGCTTAAGTTAATTACGACTACCTTCTGCGGTTCTAACCAACGAAGATCGTTACTATATTACAATACATATATTACGTCCGTAACGACACTGAAGTTCTGTTTTACCTTCTTTTTTTGTAATGTTAAATCACCGGGCCTTGTGTGGCCACGCGTCGTGTGTAATGGGTCCTGCTTCTTTGTTTAAATAGCTTCCTATGACAACTGGATTCTATTTTGTTTCTCTGTAGTTAAATATCTGTTTTTTTAATTACGTTATTTTTCTAATCATAAAAATATTTCGTACTGTGAATTAGAAGTAAACAAAAAGTAAGTTCTTTAGAAGAAGCGCAAAAAATATCCTGGTAGCTGTTAAAAAACAGATGTACATTACCAAAAATTGAGGTCTATTGGTGTCTCCAAACGCGAGCACGTCCGGTGGTGACCACCGAAGTGAATGCTTCGCATCGCCGTCGGCGCCTCTTATCCGGCTAGGGCGACCGATTATGGACAATAACTTTATTTCACGGTGAAACTATTTTCTTTTCTCTTCGTCCATTGTTGTCCACCATTCTCCGCGTCTGATCGCATCACGTCGCCGCCTAGTGATTTGAGCACATACCGATATGCCATTTTCAGGCTGGTAGTAATCGCTAATCGTCCGAAGCTTTCAGGGAAATGGAGCAGCAGCTCACAAACTAGCTATCCTACTTTAAAAGAGGTTACGACTTTTCTGTCCCGAATCGACCACCCCTACCAACCGACAAACGATTCGTTGTTTCCTAATGTTGTTGGTTTTTATGATTTCGACGAATGCGTGTGGCTCTCTTTCGAAACCGCAAGACTGACTTTTACGATCAACATCGAAACATGGTTGGTAAGACGATCGTATGTCAAAGACATATTGGGCTATCATCTTATAGCTAGACAAGCAAGACCAATATGTTTGAGAATTGTTTAACGATAAAAACGAGAACTTTTTGAGAATTCTAAACTAAAAGATCTAGGATCTTAAGTCTAAATATCATCATATTGGGCTATCATCTTATAGCTAGACAAGCAAGACCAATATGTTTGAGAATTGTTTAACGATAAAAACGAGAACTTTTTGAGAATTCTAAACTAAAAGATCTAGGATCTTAAGTCTAAATATCATTGACAGTAAAAATACTATGTATGTAGTAAGACATTGAAGGGAAGAAAAGAAATATGCATATATCATCTTAACTATTCTTAAATTATCTAACAAGGTTAATAAGTCAAGGTATTTAGTCCAACAAATTTGTATCTTGTTACATAGGTAAAGAGAAAATATATCTATCTAGTTATTTAAAAGTAACTCATTTAAAAGGATCGACAAATTCCTTTTCACAAAATAGTCGCGAAATATATCTCCACCTGTCGAAAGTGTCTGTTATTATCATAGTTAGTCTAACTATGGTTCTGCGAAACACGCAGGAAAGATACATATGTAGCGTCTTGAAATGACACGTCGAAATCGCGGCTGGGATATTGGCCTGAAAACGAAACTAGACACATTTTGGATGTATCTCGTGCCGAAAATAAGATTTCCTTTCGCTTCTCTGTTATTTATCAATCTCAGTTGGTTATATGCGTCTCTCGTTTATTATTTACTATCCGTGCCGTTATTACTAGGTTCACATCACAAGACATGGATAAAAGAAACTTGGAGAACGAAAACTGACCCCACGCTTCTTCTTCTACATTTCTTCCTTCTTCTTCTTCCTTCTTCTTCTTCCTTCTTCTTCTTCTTCATTTCTTCCTTCTTCTTCTTCTTCATTTCTTCCTTCTTTTTCTTCTTCCTTCTTCTTCTTCTTCATTTCTTCCTTCTTCTTCTTCTTCCCATTTTCGATGAAAGATAATTCGAAAACATCGCATAGTAGCACGCTTGTTGATCTTTAACAACGTATAACGATGGCTCCCGCGACGGCGAACCGCACCTCGAACGACAAAATGAGGAATTTCAAAGCGGAACCGGATAATGCGATAATTGTATTCCGAGAATCAGCGCGGCACGCATTCTCCTTAACAGGGGCTCTACGAGTCTCCATCCTCTTCTTCTTCGACCGTCTGACACGATGGTAGACACGGCAAGAAAGAAACTACAACTGCTCGATGAAACGAGAATCGGTTTGTTCTCGTGTCTGACAACATACCTCATCTATTTTGCTATCTTTGATAACACGAAATTTATTCCTGAAATGTATGACTCGCTGATACTTGTAAATTAAAGAATAAAGAATTAAATTTGATATAAAATATTTTACATAGTTATTAAAAAGATGTTTATGGACTGATAAATCTTATTATCTATGTATGCTAGTTCTTATAAAATTTTTATTGTCAATTGAAAAAAACGATCAAGAGTCCTCTTCGATCACGAACTATTGATCTTATTCTTCTTGATTTCTCGTCGGACGTGTTCGTATGTTTTTAAAATCACGTATTTCAGGGCCATATCGGCATGTTTCTCCTGATGAATTATTGATGAGATGGGTAAATTCGTCAAGAAGAAAGAAAGATCGAAAGCAGAGAAAGGAGGAGGAAAACAAAGAACGAAAGAAAAGTAGAAATAAATGTTAATCTTTAAAATTCCAGACAGTCCGTTCTGGTTTAGAATTTTTCCGCGATGGCCATTACATCTCTATTGGTCGAATGCATATTTATGGAACAAAATGTAGATCTTATAGCATATAAATGGCAAAGATTGACTTCGTGGAGGGCCGAGAGCTGGTGCGTCATACGGCGCACTCATAAATTAGCTCTACTTGGCGGCTAACATGTTATTTGCCACCGAGCTCCACAAATGAGTTCACTTTGTATTTAATTACTGGACTCACGCCCAGGGCGTATCACCGTGGCTGGACCCACCTTGTTTCGAGCCGCCTCCGACAGTATTTTCTCATCCTTTTCTCTTCCAGCATCTTTCCATTCCCATCTCATATGGCTTCTTTCTTCCTTTCTTACTTTATATTTTTCCTCGCAATTCTGATTGAAATTTAAGAAAGTAAAATTTTTTTTATAATCTTGATTATAATCCTTGCGTAAAATATGTTTTTCCTCTTTAAATACTTGTTTACTTTATATTTATCACAGATTGTAATGAAAAGAATTTATAAAGATAACAAATTTGGAAACATTTACAAACTGAATATATATGAAACTAACTGACTATATCTTGTTATCTAGCTATTGTATATCTTAAAAATTCTTCTTAAGAATCATACTCTTACGATTTCTAAAAGACTTTTTGCTTCTATTGTACTCTTCTAATTTCTAAAAGGCTCATTTATAGCTTCCAAAAAAATGCTATTCCGATGTACATCCCGGTTGTTATTGTTCTTACATTAGAGAGGCTGCACCGAGGGTCTATGTTGAAAATGTTGGATCCTTCCGATGAATTCGACCGAGCTAAATCGACGGCATGTCAGAATGGAGCGGGTTGAGCGAATGTTTCGGTCTGAAAGCACGCAGGTAGACGAGAAAGGTGGGTGAAGTTATAGCTGTACGGGGCAAGGGCGAGCGGTGGGACTTACGTTTTGTGGTCCTAATTATTGGTTCCGCCACGATTCTATTCCAAAATGAGATGATATTAAATGAAACCGATCGATTTTCGTATCACGCCTGTCTAAGCAAAAAGATAGATCTCGCGAAGCTACGCGACGATATCGATATGAAAGAAGAAAGTTCATAAAATCGGCCGGTCAATTTTTTTCTCTTAAGAAGCGTCTTTCTTACCACCTGTATAGGTTTACTCTTTTCAAGTCGACAAGGAACAAGGAAGAATCATGAATTTGCTAAGAAAGGTAAAACAAGAAAAAAAAGAAAAAAGCAAGGAACAGTTATCGTGGACAAATCGCATAGGCTTTTCTTAGGAAGCTCGTGGCTTCGTTGCTTGCGCTCGTTCACGCGCTCTCGTTGAAAGTGTACGAAAAAGTACGAAAGGTTTTTAAGTAGAGGATTATCGTTCCGCTACTTAAGAAGAATTTTAGGACGGCGTTCGGACGATCTCGAAATCCAAGACGGCTGTGTCCCTCGAAGGGGAATGACAGAGAGATCGGGTTGCCTCGAGACCACCTTCATGCTCGCCACAAACTTTATCCTACCTGTTTTCGCTAATTGAGCGAGTAAAGATGTAACTGGACCTTACGTCCCTAAGGTATTTGCACCCTTTTTGCAAGATACGATCCTCGTTTCTCTTCTGAGCTCGGTGAACGCAAGAGATGGACCTGTACTCTGTGGCTCGGTCCGAGCCGTCGCAGCCTGTGAGCACCGAATTCTTCGGAGGTAGATTTTAACCAATTTATAAGCATTCTTTCTTTTTTACGCTACCAGAACTAAGTAGTTACACTAAGATTTTCCGTAAAACTAATAATAGATATCTTGTTAATCCTTTTATTTATAAAAATATGAAATTTGTAAGTTATTCTTTTTCTTTAGGCAAACTTGAATTAAAGTCTGATTAAAAATTGATATAGTAAAGTTAATCACATATTGAAAGCACTACAATTTATTAGCCTATCAGTAGCATCTACTCTTTATTATTTTATCGATATTAATATTTAACAATTCTAGCTACTATCTTTTGATGAAAGTAAAGGATTTGATTCATCTGTATTGAAGTGAGAAAACGATCGATAGACCGTGAGAATTTCACACGAAGAATTTCATCGGGAGTCACACGATCTATGCAACGAGTAACGAATATCCCAAAGAAGATGGCACTCTAACACAGAAAGAGAGAGAGAGAGAGAGAGAGAGAGAGAGAGAGAGAAAGAGAGAAGAGAGAGAGAGAAAGTGAGACTTTCCGAGAGAACGCAAAGCCTACATTGACGATCTCTCTTTCTTTTTCCTCCCTTCTCGTGTAGCCATCGTAGGCGCCGGGCCACCTGTTGCGGTATCCGAATGCGTACAGGGCCTGGTCCGCACTTAAGAGTTAACTAAAAATGTGGTGGGGATGTTAGACGTTCTCCGATTGGTTCGGCGGCACGTGCTCCACAAGGGTGCCTGCTCCTCGAATGCATAAAGTCCCTGGCGCGCTTTCACAAGACTTCAGAATCACCCCGAGGGCCGACTCGGTGTGTACGCGTTTAAGATTATCGGAAAGGTTTTTGATCTCGTGGATGGTACTATTTTTTCAATTAGTGTAATAAAAAAGAAGAACTTTAAATTTTTTGTCTCTCCATTAGACTGAATTATTTATTGATAGAAGATCTAGGATCAGTGCAAACGATCAAGATCAAAGAGAAGAGGAGCTTTCAGTGTGATATCATACTGATTCTCATACTATGGAACTTCAGGAAATGTTTCGTTACGGCTATATGTTTCCACCACGCGAGGATGAAGTCGAAACATGTACGTACTTGGAATTACCGAATTATACCAAAACAAAGTCTGGCTTGCCTCCAGTGAGCACTTTGACTGTACCTCGTTGCGTGTTATATGAAAGTAACAGAAGCGACGGCTGGCACACTCCAAGCCCTACGGCGAGTGTACGATCCGTCAGTCCTGCTACGACACTCTCGATTTCTTCGGAACCAGAAATTAATATAATCGGAGGTCCCTCCTATCGTCTTTTATCCGGGACAGCGGAAGACCAAAGATATACAACCAAGAGAATGGCTAATAGTACTGGTTGTGTTGTTGGAAAAACACGATCCTCGCGTTTGGACACCGTAGATCTTGGAGAAGAATTGGATGTGGACGCTGATGGGGAAGCTGAACACGATAAAGCTCAATCCTGTCGTGGAAGCGTCATCAGCAACTCTAGTGGTCTTTCGGACAGAACAATGGATGCTGATAGCGAAGACAATGAAGAGACAAGCGACGGTCCTGATTCAGTCGGTAATCCTACTTCTTCTGGACGAGATACAAGGAGACGAGGCAAATACGTTAGCTCTACAACGGTTAGGAAACGAAGACTAGCTGCCAATGCCAGAGAGAGAAGACGGATGCAGAATCTTAACAAAGCTTTCGATAGGTTGAGAGCTTATCTACCTTCGCTTGGAAATGATAGGCAGTTATCCAAATACGAAACTCTTCAAATGGCACAATCTTACATCACGGCGCTTTATGATCTTTTACAATAACGATCATTTGATAGGAGTTGCTTCATCTTGAATTTTTTTTTCGAATTTTTAACAGATTAGATATGTATAATATCAATCAAATTAATCGATATACTTTGTGGCAAATGAAAATATCAGTATTATCTTGAACAATAGGGTATCGAATGATAATGAATTGTTTTTAAAAACGAGATCACGCAGGTAACATTACGCGTACAACCTTTCTACAGATATCAATCATATCCTCTGTATATACTATCACCCACCGATAACTTGTATATTTTGTACGATAGTCTGACTAATTAAGCGATAAATAAAACTAATTAAACGTTGTATTATATAGCATAACATATAATTTATTGTAATTGAGATAAGTGACAAAGAAGAACAAAGTGATATTTTTGTGAATAAAATTTTTCCAGATAAATTAATTTCATCTTGTAAAACTTTCCTTTTTCTCTCCTAATAATTTTAAAAGAAAATTTCACAACACGAAGTTCTGAGTTCTGCGAAGAAAATCAATTTCCAATAAATTTACAGGTACAAATTAATGAGTTTCAGGAAAGTCAAAGAATGTTCGATCAAGAAGGAACATCATCGTCATCGGTGGTCCAGCCGTCATACGAAACCAGCGCGACACTTTGGTGCCCGGTTTCATCGCAATTTGAGAACCTGCAGTATTCTCTTTCTATGACGATGACGATGACTCCTTTTTCACTCTCTCTCTCTCTCTCTCTCTCTCTCTCTCTCTCTCTCTCTCTCTCTCTCTCTCTCTCTCTCTCCGTCTTTTTTTCCTACTCTTTTTGTATCCTCTCGCAAAGAATGTCTCTTTTTCTCAAAATATTTAAATTTTCAAAATATCACTTGTGTCTATCGTATAAGCAAATCTATGAAGTTACATTCTTCTTTTAAAAAGCTTCAGGGTGACCTCGTAAAACGACTTTATGTGATTCCGACAAATTATATTAAGCCGATATTTTAGAATATCTATCTAAAAAGATGTAGAATATCTAGAAACGAAGTAAATTTCTCATTGTTTTAAAAATGCAATCAAAATTGGTTTCCTATTTATCTCGATAATATCTAATTTTGATTAATTAATAATTTAATATTAATAGAATTATGTAATAACTATTCTTCTTGCAATTCAAAATGCATCGGTTAACGATAACGGTATTAATAAAATTTACGACACTAGGAACTCAATGAGTATCTTTACACGACAGAAGATATAAATTAAACGAAATGATAGACCCGTGATTTTGAAAAGCATTGAAAATTACCATCCAAATGAGTTACTACATGGGAAGTTGTTGGTATTCTGCTTTTACATAAAACTACCGCTGTTCTTTTCTTTTTTTGAAGGAATTTTTAAAGTAAGAAGTAAATTATAATATCTCCGATACAAGAATATCCAATAATTATCTTTAGATAATCAGAATTATATCGTAAATAATTTATGAGTATTTACAAGTTTCCGCAAGAAATTATAACTAATTTTAGGAAAATCTATACATACTTTCATTGTAAAAGAACAAGCGAGTGAACGCAAAAAGATCTTTCGTAGAAAGTCTACACTTGACTTCAAAGGTTGAAACGTGGATATTCCGATAAAGCGGGCTATTCGATGTGACCGTCAAACATTCGACAGGAATATCGGACCACCCTGCCTAGCAACGATCCCACAGCCGTGAGCTTCAAATTGAACGATCGATCTTACCTCACAGGAGAGAAAGAAAGAAAGAGAGAGAGAGGGAAAGAGAAAGGGAGAAAGAGAGAGAGAGGAGAGAGAGAGGGAAAGAGAAAGAAAGAGAAAGATATTCTGCAACTCCTGCGCGAGTTTGTCGCGCGAGAGAATAGCGGCTTGTTGTACGTCCTCGTCGGAAGTCGACTGATTTATATGTGCACCGAATCGGTCGCTTTGTAATACTCGGCCGAACGTATAAGTGGATGCGCATCGTTTCGCTCGACTCCTCTTTACATTTTATTTTTTTCTTCATTTCTTTCCTTTATAGATTTGTCTGCTCTTGTTTACTGTGAAATGAAATTTTGTGCGACCTAAGCTGAAATCGAATGGGAACTATTTTGAATTAGAAAATTAGAAAATTGAAAAATTTTATTTTAAATCACTATTAGTGATCATGAGTTCATAACTTGTTTTTGCAATTTCTTTTGTGAGAACCATTATATTTCCTCTTCTTCGAATTGATCTTCGAAAGACTTTTCTTGACGATAACAGAAAAGAAAAAACTCCTATCGTGTAGAATTAAAAATGCAAGACGGATATCGCAAAGTGAGATCAAAATTTTTGATCGACTTCATCCGATAAAACCAGATACATCCGACGTTCCTAAAGAGGTGAATAAGAAAGAGGAAGAGAGAACACACACACAGGTGCAGTGATGGAGATAGGGATTCGGCTGAATGCGCGCTACCGACAAATTTCAACGGACCGATTATATTTATCGCTTGATTCCAACCACAAGATTACATTATTCTGATGCTTAATGCGTTACGCCTTAATGCGGTCTCCTCCTTCGAGACGAGACGACGTTAGGTATTTGCGGAGAGTTTAGGGCTACTCGTGCAGCGTGCTTAACTTAAACCGCTTCTCAAATAAAGCAATCTCCACGATCAGACAACGATGCGGCGTCGTTTGTCCTCTCGTCCTTCTCACTCCAATCCTTTTCGTCTCTTCTCTTTCTCCCTTATTCTCGCTAAACCACCCTCTATCGACGGAAGTATTTTGACATTGGCGATCTGGTCACTTGCTTGGAAGAGCAACTACCGTTCTTTTTTGCAAAGCGATATCGTGATGAAGCTCCTTATATCCTTAAATAATTAATTGTTCGCTGGAGTTATTTACATTTTTTTATCTTTGGAACCCTACCTTTCTTAATTATTTCTTTTTCTCCTTTTTTTCAGTCGAAAAATCTTTCAATGATGGCGAACAATGCCATTAAAACTTCCAAGAATACTATAATAAAGTGGAGATGATCAAACATATTTGGCTATATTTAGAATTATTTTGTTTTTATTTAGAATTATTTAGGTCGTATAAACTACATCCGATTGCTTTGTTAAAAGAAGGATACTTGAAAAGCTAACTTTTCAATTCTCTCGTACTATTATCAAATTATATTTGCTTTTCTTTTACGACTTTCCATATTTCGCACTTAGCTCGAGTATACTTTTTTCCTAAAAAATGTTTACTTTAACATTTAAGTACTAAATACTCCGTTAAATATTTTATTACACTGTTATTATATAAAAAAATTTGCCAGCTTCCTTGGAAAATAAAACAACATACAATATTGTTGTAAAACTTTTACACAAAAACTTCCAATTCAACGCTCGACGTGAGAATTCGCAATTCGTTCTTGTAATCTCCTAACGCGCCTACGCAATAAGGTGATCCTTACAACGGGAAGTCTATTGAATAAAAGGAAAAGCTACTAAAGGAGATCGAAATCAAAATCAGAATTCTTCCGTGTAAACTTCTTTTATGCTTTGTCAATATGACAGCAGTCCCATTCAGTTTTGACTTTCGATGCGTGTTCCCGCGAATACTTCCGGATTATAAAACGCAGGTAGATGAAAGGTCGATCCCAACGAATGCAACCAAAAACACGACCGCTTTTGTGCAATGCCTCCATGATTCTACGCGTCCGACTCTTTAAGCTCATAAATCGGTAAAAGATCCTGATTTCGATTCTAGGTTCTCTCTTTCTCTTTTTCTCATATTTTCTATTTGTTACTTCTTAGAGATACTCTTCTCTTTTCAGAATTATCCTTCTATTCTTTCAGGATACTAAAACATTCTTTATATTAAGGAAGTCGCTCGATAAATATTGTTTAAAAATAAGTTTTTCTTCTTTCACAAAAATATGAAATGAACCTTAACACAGGAGAACCATTCTTTTCCTATTATACACTATTATCTACTTACGCATTTAATTGTCTTCCGTCTTTCTTGCTTGGAAAATGGTGGAACGTTAGTACGGCGGTAGACTCGAAAACGCGAAGAAAAATCTAATGATCAAGGAGTAAGGGAAGTCAAATTGATGGGAAAGTGGGGGTTGACGAAGCAAGCCAAGGGTGAGAAGAATGGACGAAAAAGGTGCAGAGTGGGAGGAAGAGAAAGGGGAGAGGGAACACGCGGCAAAGCCGGTTGCGCGTGACACGCGCGTATCTCGCCACTCGAAACTGCCCCAGGGACATTAATCCCATTTAATCGAACACCGGCTCGGAAGGACTCGATCCCTCTTCAGCCGCCATTCTTGTTTACCGCCCGTTGCACCAGCGAGCACTCGAACTCGGCATCGTCCTACGCGTGTGTTTACTCAAGCTAATGATCACTCCCTCTCTCTTTCTCTCTCTTTCTGTTTTTTCCTTTCTATTTTTACTCTACTGCTTTGTAAACTCTGTTTAGAACATTCACAATCTCGGATGCGTAATTGTATTGTGCACGCGTTTGTTTCGTCGTCTCTCATGGATCGGAGTTGTATTTTCAATTTTTTTTATAATTTTCCTCGTAAGATGATGGACATGAATCCATTCAGTGACGAAAGGATTGATTATTAATTATTAAATATGAATAAATTGATATTTAAGAAGATATTTTCAATATATCAGTATACTCTTAAAATAAAATCTAGACTAATAAAATATTTCATGTCATTTATTATTTAAATTTCTCTTCCTTAAGCATCATTAATGTATGAAAATAGTACATTATGAAAATGAATAGATATACTTAGCTCTTCGCATTATTCATTTCTATTTGATAAAATAGTTAATTGTAATTTACGGAATACTATTAAACCGTTAAACATCGTCAATCATAAATCTCAATTCTTCTTTTTATCACTTTAGCATCACCGATATTCCTTGCTATTTTCATTCTTGTCTTCGTCCGACCGATTTTCGTTTTCATGGCTTTCCTCGAGATCGGGACGAACGTCAATAAGTAAACTTTGCCGACACAACGTGGAGATCGTACTCATATTTCCATCTTCATTGTCCTTCCCTCGCATCAATTTTGAAATCCTTAATTTATTGACTATTCTTGCTAAGGGTCCATCAGAATCTCGTCGCTTCGATATCGTTCGTGGTAAGGATTCACATCCACGGTTACTACTAGCAAGCCGACCAAAAGTATCCGGATCGACGTTTATCATTCCTGCGCTCGCAGATTTTACCAAATCAGACTTGGAATTCGAATTCTGAGGAAAGGTTGCTGATTGTGAAACGGATGACGGTTGAATCGGACATCTAAAATAAGTTTTACATTCGTTAGAAATTATAGTAAAAATACGAACGTCGCAATTAGTTCATAATATAATATCGATTTTTAAATTTATTGTCAGTCACTTACTCAACTGTAAGATCCCGATTAGTATCTTCACAATTTATATTTTCGATGTTCAAAGTCAAATCTTTGTGATCGTTTATGAAAAGTGGATTGTCCTTTTGATTTGAAGTTATGGGTGTCAAAGGCTCTACCATGGACTGACATAAGGGACCACCACGACGCGAAAGAAAGCCTTCTTTTGCACGTTGTATTCTCGAACTCCGTGACTCTGTTGTTGTTGTAGCAATACAACTACCAATTCTACCGTCTCTTTTCGCCGCCACATTTGAAAGGATCCGTAATTTGTGTACAAGATCTGAAGGCAATTTATCCTCAGTTATCATGGAACGCTCTGTTTCATCTTCTTCCTGTATTCCGAAAATTGGTACGACTAAAAGAATTAAATTTTTAATTAAATTCTATGTAAATATGTATGTGGTATAAACTAAACAATTCAGAATTTATTGAAGTACCAGATAAACGATGATCCTGTTCAGTCTCTCGAACTATAATTTCTTCGTACCCGTCGTCAATAGGATTTCTATAAACTTTTTTATTTTCCTCATCTTTCTTCTCTATTACTTTTTTTTCTTCGACATATGCGATCTCTTTATCAATTTCTTCGTCACGCGTACTTGAGCTAATTTTCAGATTTTCGATACTAATTTTCTTTCCTTCTTTTTCAGTTATTATTTTATTGTTCTGAACAACACGGTCTTCCCCTGAACATGTACGCCTGTGATATTTCTTTTTTTCTGGCTCTTTCGAGGAAGATCGAAGAATCCATGGAAGAGATAGAGGCGTACGAGGCACTGTCTCATGTCGCGAAGTTCTCGGCGATGCCGATCTCGATTTACTCTTACTCTTGCTTTTTGGTCTTTCCACTCGATTTGAATTGGACTCGTCGATATCTCTTTCATGAGAAGCACGACGAAAAGTTGAAAATATCATACGTTTGGTCTTTATGAAAACGTTTCGAGAAGTAGATTCTGCTTTCTGTTTCGCTCGTACGCCATTATTCACATTTTGATTTACAACGTGAGAGTCAAGTTTAAGAGGAAGCTTGTTGTTGTCGTTACAAGCTCCATCCAAGTTTGAATAATTGTTGAAAGTATTCGAAGTCTCATTCTTCTTCGATCTTGACGAGTTGCTCGCACTGTCGCTACTCGCCGTAGGAACGACTATCTTCTTTAGAGTTTCTTCGTTGATGATGATCCTTTCAACGCAACGTGCTCCGCCATGCGTCAATACAGTTAATGGCGTCGTTCTAATGGTTGGCTCACGATATTCCAGATTACCATTCTTAAATGGCGTTGATATCTTCTCGAAGGAACGGTATTGTTTCTCTTCTGTTTTTCTGATTGTTTCAATTTCTTTTACGAGTGATATGTTTTCCCTCGCAATCTCTTCTTCCTTCGAAATTTCTGTGTTTTGAATTTTTTCACTGTTGTCATGTTTATTTTCAATAATATTGGAGGAAGAAAAATCGTGAGAGCATCTCATAGTATTAACATCAGTGTATTGACGTAATTGAAATATTTTTTTATCTTCACAGAACTCATCTTCAATATTTTTTTCTTTCTTTGAGATTTCACTTGCATCAACATCATTATTCCAAAAGAAGTCTTTATACATAAAAGAAAGGAAATACTTATTATACATATCATATATTTAATGTATATGATTAAATTTATATTAATTATATACAATAACTAATAAATAATAATGAATTAAGCATTAAAAATTGATTTATTTTACATTTATATTCCTACCCGATCCAGACTTCGAAGATACAGTAGAACTTCTCGAAAAGTTTCCTATATTATCAACAATGTGTACAGTTCCAGATTGATGATGATAAGAGAAGTTTAAGTCTCTGTCGTTCTTGTTTCTATCAGGGATTTCTTTCTTGTCATCGTTTTTGTCGTCAACGTCGTTTTCATCCTCGTCTTTTTTCAGCTCCTTCTTTTCGCTCCTTTGTTCCTCGTTATTCTCGTACGGCAACTCCTGGTTGTACCGACAGGACGCTAATTTCGATCGTGTTATGATAAAACTTATCTTCTCGGAAGATTTTTAAACAAATTTGTTCAATATCATAAGATTCTCGACAATTTTTCTTATATGTGAAACCGAAGAAAAAATAAATCAAAATATTCTTAGAATTAAAAGATAAAGTAGTGATATATATAAAATGTACCATTGGTTCTTCCATTTCTTCCATAGCTCTAGTTTCCGTAGTTGTAGTCGGAATATCCTCGGATTTGGACACATTATGTACAAGTGTATCTTCTAAAAAAGATATTATAATAATAACACGTATTATATTATTTCTTTATTTTAACGGTAAATATATACTTACCAATACATTCATTAGTCATCATCCAAGTTTTGTTCGTATTATCATCTTTGTTGCCACCAAAACGAATATCTAGTATATCACTGGAACCAAAATATAAAATCTGCGAGAATGTAAAAGTGATGCCAGTTTCAAAAACGTAATAACAATTCCAATCCAAAGAAGGAATTATTAACACATTGCATACGGGTCACGAGATATCTCGTTTTCATGTTTTTTCGACTGCATCGATGACATAAGCAACCAGAGACAAATGTTTTTATTACGTTACCAGGGTAATGAAGCTTTGCACATTCTTATGACAAATGATGAGCGAAATAACTAAATGTTGACATTCCAAAAATGCAAAAATAATCATTCAGTATAGCTAGTATATACCTATCATTTCAAAATTAATGTGAAGGAACAGGTTTGAACAGGATATAAGATATTTACATTTTAACGATAACATGAAAATGAATGAAAATAGTGATAGATTCTACAAAAAAGAACTTGTTTACAATTATCTAATAAAAAATTTTAAACCGTTTATATTCCTCATCAGAACCTGTAGCCAGATGAAGCCTTGGCCTGGAAAATTTAAGTTGTAATTAAGAATAATTTATGTAAATATAATACCAAATGCAAATTATAAATGTGTATATATGCATCCTATTGCTTGCCAAGTATGGTTCTGGAGCGTTCAAAAATGTGCGGGCCTTGGGAACACGTTGAGCGCGCAGAGAGCCGTACGCAATGTGTTAATGTAAAAATATATATTTACATTCCGGGATCTCTTTCCTTTACGCTTTTCTCTTACCTTTTCAAATTCATGCAATTAAATTCTTCCTCGTTATTATCAAACAATCGCTCATTTTGAATTAATTCGAAGGAGTGATCAGATGGATACTTAATTGTTTTATTCCAGCCAACAGTCGGCCACGTTTTTTGATCGGAAACATATTGGTAGCAATGATTTGATCTTCGATGTCGATCTTCTTCAAACTCTGGGTTAGTCTTATCATATGCTGAAAAATGTGTCTTCTCGTCCCATAATGGAAGCCAATTGCCTGGAACAGAAGAATTCCGACTCGAAAGATCAGCCCTCAAATTCCAGCTTCTTGATTCCCAATGTTCTCTATCCGGATCATCTTCGACTTCCATCAAAATCGCTGGAGATGGTTCATGACTAGACGTCACCATACCAAGAGGTACAGCTATACTAGTCGTTTCGCTGGCTGCTACAGAGTAAACTGGAGTCTGATGCGGCTGAATTCTTCTCAAGGGACTAGCCGTTTCTTCGATGACGTCCTCGATATCGACTATCATAGCCTCTGGTTCAAAATCGTCAATGATCCCATCTTCCGAGGTGTCTGGCCTTCTCTCTGAATCTACTATAAAGTTTGAAATTATTATCATAAATTTTTACTGCTGTAAATAACGAATATTGAACTAAATTGGGATTATTTACCAGGTGCTGGAGAATCAGCCATAAGATTTGTTCCTTTCAATTTTTCAGTCAAATAGTTCAACGAACATAAACTAGCAGAGCGACGAACAAATACTTGCATACGTTCACTAGCTTCAACAACACTTCCAACCGATTTAGATCTCTTGATACCATTAAGGAAGACTTCCTCTTCATCTATAATAAAGCAACGAAAAATGCAGAATTAATTTAATGTTCTCTAAAAAAATAGAATTGAGTTCAACCTGCTGGAGTTGTGTCATCAGTCGTCGTTGAATCGTTCACCGTTTCTATAAGAGACGCATAAGCTGGATCTAATAAACGAAATGTTGAAGATCTCGGGGATATACCACGAGACTTTTCCCAATCATATAATTTCCTGGTAAATTCTTGAGATATTCCTTCGAAGCGATAAGAACCAACTGATGTCCGGATTAAAATTTCATTACCAGATTTTAAATTTTGCGACTTTTCGATCAAACTAAAAAAAAAAATTTCATAATTATTCTTAAAAGAATTTTGAAATTTATCAAATGTAATGAAACATTTGACAATTACTTTGATTTTTTTTTAAACCAATCACTATCCTGTTGAGTTTCCTGTTCGAGGTTTCCAAAAAGTGAAAGAATTCTGTCTAAAGCAAGAAATTCTGTCTCGTCCACGATACCGGAGGTGAAACCTAATCGAGCAGATGGTGGCCTTCTTGATACCTCGCTAAGTCTTCTCCAAGCTTCCATTCTTTTTACGAAATCCTCACATAAGTGAAGTCTGCTATCGCTTCCAATGCTACCGGTACTTCCAACGCTTCCACAGCTACGACGAGGACCCATCACTTCCTGAGCTTTCATCTCCGGTTTTGAAGGATACAGCCAAAGCTGCCAATCCGTTAAGCGTCGTCGATTAACTCGTTGAGATTCTGTGGAAGCACTTGCTCTTCGTCCTTTTTTCGACCGTTTCCACTCTTGAAGTTTCTTCTTGAATTCTGGAGCTAATCTTTCTTCCGCCAAAAGCAAACTCTCGTGAGGACTACTTGGTGTTGTTCCTTAAATAAAAAAAAACAAATTTAAAAATTGTATACATATTTATAAAATTTTCAACAAAATGGTATGTCTACTTAGTGGTTAATTATTTTTTGTTAAAGTATGTAAATATTATACCATTGCTGGGAATAAATGCATCTCGAGTACTTTTCGTACTGCCTCCCGTAGATCTCTTTAAACGTTCCCATTCTATTAGTTTTTGATGAAACTCAGCTCCAAGTTTTTCGCGCAATGCTTGATAATCTCGTCGAGTTTCCAGTTGAGTATTTGACATGAAGTTCTTGGATAAATCCTCTACACTGCCACTGCAACTACGAGCTCTAGGTGTTTCTGATTCTAAAATATAATATATGTTAAATTGTTTAATCGTTACATATAACATACTTTTATATGTGCATATAATAATATTATTATACTACTATCATATACTTTGTTATTCATGCCGATGCATCGTTGATAGTTAGACATTTACTCGCGTATACCATTTGTTTTACAAAGTGGATTAACCTGATCATATTATTTTGGCATGCTGCCGTATAAATTTTACGTTTTCACAACAGGTCGAATTCTTAATGATGCATCAAAACTCCCACCGTACTTGTATTACATGAAGTTTATCGGCAAAAGATTAGTTTCTAACGAGAATAGTAAATCGGAGTGTAATATAAAAGATCAATCAAAACCATATGACACGTGTAGGCAGAATACAGAGACTCCCATACGATGTCCAAAGAAAACTCTCTTTCATTTGTGTTATCAAAAATCAAATGCTTTGAGTAAAGTAAGACTAACTCTCTTGCACACACTTAGATACAGGTATATGCTTTTATTTTTTCAACCTTTCAGAGTAATAGCAAAACAATAGCCTCAGAATGTAATGACGCGTGTAAACGCATGAAAAACCAGATCGAAAGCATAACTAAGTTTGTTAACAAAGAAAAACAAGCAATCATTGAATCTTTGAAGAAAGAAGAAAGTGTGGATAAAACTGATGCATGTCAATGGGTAAAAAGTATCTCAGAGTGTTTGGACCGAAGACTTCAACAATTGATGCAATTAGATCCTGCCTTCGCATCTGATACACGAATAGCAGTCCTTCGATTCAAGGATCGCGCAAGAAACACGTTTATTGCTTTATATTATGACCTAATGCCTGGTGTCAGACAAATTGAATCGATTTTAGAAGAACTACAAAATGAGACTTTTCAATGTATTGAAAAAGCAGCTGCTCTGATACATTTGTGCTATTACGACAACTCATCTCCGATCTCTAAAAAGTGTTTTTTGAAATATACGGAAGAAGCTGAAAAGATTTTAGAGCAAACGATGAGGGAAACACAACTGAAATTTAACGAAGTGGAAAGACTTCAGAAGAATATTTTGAAATGTCATAAAGAAGCGATGAACGAAGCAACGAAGGAACACACTTTAGAGATGCAAGCATTCTCTAAATATTTAGATGATTGTATAGCTGTATTTAAAAAATTAAAATAATAAACGATAAGATAATATGCTATTATAAAATCGTATCGATATAAATATAATAAAACAAAGAATGAAAAACTTGTAATATTTATTAATAATTGAATAAAAATAAATCTTACCATCCTGAAGAAAAGATTGTCTAGCTATTACTCTCACTGGACTTGGTGGGACACTGAAAGCAGTATTGGATAGAAAAGCTCGTCTAACTTTGTTCCACTTAGAATCCATTCTCTGGATTTTTGAAGCCGATTCTTCCACAATGGATCGCTGTAAGATTGATAAAAAAAGAACACAATTTTAAAAGACAATTGTATATCTTTACATTTTCTATTGTATTTACTATACCTGTTGTTTAAATTCCGTCAAACTCTGGCCACTTTGACGAGCCTTTGCTTGATGCGGTGAATTTTGACCGGAATCAAGCGTGCTAGAAGGAAGTGGTGAAGCAGATTCTGGCGAAGTAATGTTTCTGAATTCCTCTTCGCTAGATGGTATTGTGATAGTTAAAGTTGGTGTTAGATTTTTAAGTGTAGCTTCTGTATCTTTATCAGAACTCGATGAAGATTTCAAATCAGATATATTGATTTGCAATTCAGGAGTAATCTCCGTCGCGATTCGAATTAATGGTTTTTCTTGATTAGTCTATGAAAATCAAAAAAATTAAATTAGAATTTAAACGTACAAAAATTTAAATATGCCTGATGAAATATTGAAATTTTACTGAAGTGTTGGTAAATTTGATCACGCATATACTGAAAATAAATCGTTACTTCTGCTTTTCCGTTAGTAACAATAAAATGAATTATAACTTGACGTTCTCGCGATATTTGCATTTGGTGCAATTTTAGAATTAAAATCGTATTTATAAGGTAAACACGATATTCTGGAGATTTGCCAATGATCTTGGAAATATCCTATGTATCATTAAGAAATATGCGTTTACTCAATAATGTTCGATAAACAAGTTGAACCGTTAACGGCTAAGAGTACGATCGATGTCAGTTCAACGTATTCAGAAGATGCGGGCGTACCCCACGCGTGCTTGTCCGATGTATTTTTAAATCGACAAGCTCGTGGACCGATTCCGTCTCGGAAGAGAAAAATTCTGCGTACATGAACTTTTACAAAATTTATGAAAATTTATTGGCAAACGCTTGGAATTCTTTCGAATGAAAAAGAATTTCTTTATTACCAATATTTGTACAAAATTTTCATATTGGATTTTTTCAAGTATTTACGGTGATATATAAACTACTCGTACAATCTTTAAAAAATAATAATTGTTTTTTTTTCAAAACGATAAAGTATTTTTAAATAGTTAATTAATTTCTCTAGATGCGTTAACAATTTTAAAAGCATTTGGTTATATAAAAAGGATTTATTCAATTTCAAAGAGCGTACATACATATATTTTCCGGATTCATTGTATATACACGTATATATATATCTATATATATATATATATATATATATATATGTATATATATATAAAATAGATAAACGCGTTGTTAATGACTCACTCCATAAATTCGTCAAGACATTTAACGATGCACCTGCATGAAGCAGACCTTGATCGTTTAGTTCTTCTATATGTAGGTTAAGTGTTACGTACACATATGTACATGATATCAAATTCCACACGTAATTTGGCAAAAGATCTTTTACCTCACATATTTCCCTCGCATGCTGTATAGTGTCGTCGTTGATAGTTACGGTAACGTCATCTTCGGACGATTTGTTAGATTCGTTTTTTTTCGGAACTTCTTTCGCTCGGGACATTCGTTGATCAGCAGAGTCAGATATGTATTTTCGTTGACCTATAAGATAGAACAAATAATATATTTAAAAAAAAAAATGACAATTTAGAAAATAAAAAAATATTCAAAAGAAATCTTATATTAGTTTCTTATTAGAAATAAATGTTTAATTTGAAAAAATCTCGAAGACTTGCAAAATATCTAATAAAAATTTATTATTTTTTGAGTTTGCAAATTAAATTGCTCTCATAAAAGTAAATTTTCAAAATTCTAAATCTTACGATCGAATACATCTTCGTTGGAAGAAAAAGCTGAGGAGGGTCGGCCGAGTGGCGTGGAGGGTCCCGAGAGTTCTCCTGTACAGGACCAATTTCCAGATGCAATATCTGGAATTCGAAGATACTTCGTAGTTGGTGTGCTCGGTGTCGTTGATGTTTGTTCGATGTTTGAATCTGTCATATCATTGGGACAGGCTCTCTCCCACTTGAAAGCAGCCTTTACTCTGGTCCATTTAGAAACTTTCGGTACACCAGAAGTTTCATTCCTGAAGATAGTCTTCTCTATACCAAGTGCCGAACGATTACCCAGATTTGGTGATCGTGGCAAGGATTGTTCAGACATGGCAAGCGATCGGCTTCTTTGTCTCGAAAAAGCCGGTGATCTCGGATTTCGTCTTTGAAATTGAGAATCTCGACTGCTCGATATTATTGCGTCTAATAAAGATTCGGCAAAACCAGCATCCTCATCTGGTAAATCACTACTTATGTCCTTATTAGCCAAAATTGCTTTCTCCGCACGCAAATCCGCCGTTCTCAATACCTTTATTCTTTCTAACTCTCTAACACGTTTGAATAGTTTCGAGCTACGATCGCGGAGTTCCAGTATTTGCTCCGCCATTTCGTAGATCCTGTCCAGTTGCTCGAAGGATTCCTCCGTATAGAGATTCGCCACGGCCATCGTCGACGTCGCTGAATTTCTTGATAAACAATCAGAGTTACGACTATCGCACGGTGGTGATGTACGAATACTCGCTAAATAAGCGATGATGTCATCTTCTTCTTGCGATGGTTCTACGGATGAACTATGAACAGGTTGTGAGTATTTCGGAGATGTCCAAGGATCGGGTGGTGGACATGGTAAATTTGTTTCCTCGAATTTTTCCTTGTTCTTATTGATTCTGTTATGCTTTCGCGCTCTTTTATCGAAATCTTGAATATTACATTCTTCGACTACGGGTCTACCGTTTTTCGCCATTTTTGCCCAAGCGACAAGATTTCAAGTTGATAACATATATACGTACATACGTTGAAATCCGAGGTCAGTACCATCGATCCATGAATCAACAACGATTTTTGGCAAAATCTTCTCCGATTCACAGTTTTATCGATTCTCTCAATTATATTTGGCAAAACCGAAGAAACGATCGCGTGCCGAATGATTATAATCAGTTTAGAATCTGGTTTATTCGGACACTATTTACCCTGGCAATATGTGGATGGAACAGTATGAATCTGCGAATCATCACCGACGTCCGAAAGGTGCCTTCAGTATAATCTCACCACCGCCTTTTGACTCTTTCCAATGTTTAATCAACTAGTCGAATTTCAAAGCTGGCTCTTAATGTTGATCGGGTCGTTTACAAGCTCTTTGTTCCATCCAATTCCTCCTTGTGGGATGTTTATCGCTCATAGTTACGTAAAACAGTCTTTTTATTATTAAAAATAGTAACAATTTAAATATTTTGAATATCGCATCTTGTTTTAGAAACGTAAAATACGATTACAAAAGTTCACGAATATGTTCGAATGTTATTTTTGAAATTACTTTGATGCACCACGAATCTGCCACGCCTAAAAATGTTTTACTTTTCTTCTTGAGAACTTCTTTTGTAACCAGAATCAAAAATCACGATGGAATCACAGTTAATATTAATAAATCTGTCGATTCACTCTCGACATAGAAAAAATTTTCGCAACATATTGCTTACATATATCTATTGATAATTTTAAAAGAATAGCCTTTATGTGAAAAACAGGATCAAAGGAGATTGCCGTTACGGGGATGCCGACGCCCGTTGATCGCTTTTGTGGCGTCGCGATGTGCGACGAACGAAGACATGGCTTTGCATCGCGTCCCTTCTCTCTCGTGATTATTTTCAGTAGGCAACGTCGTCTCGGCATTCGTATTTACAGCGATGTACAACTTGGAGTGGTAACGCGAATAGGCATGCGCGTTTGATCGACGAAAGGCACGAAGAAAAAGATGAAGGAGAAGATCTACACGGAAAGGAATGTGTACATGTGTATATATATATAGGAATATTTTTAGTATCCATTTTATTCTATATCTGTATGTATAACAGGTATATTATATCTTTAGTAGCAAAGTCATATACGATAATATAAATATCTATTAAATATATCTACATTTATTTTACACATTCAAAAATTTGCTAAGAAAGAAAGAGAGAATGTACTCTATTATAAATGATTATCATACCTATATATGCATGATATAAATTTGCAAACAAAAACATGTACAAAAAAAATGCAACATATGTATATAAGATATACGTACATATTTACTAGTAGGTAAATATCTACATTATGTTTGCCTCATCTGAGGAAAAGCGAATAAGAAAAGAAAGATGGTTTTCTCATCTCTTCCTGTTCCTAGCAAAAATAGATGTTTGAAAGGCGTTTACTGGCCCTTCCAAACGAACAACCAAACCTACTTATTTATACGCACCCGGAACGTCTATCGCAATCTTATGCGGAAAAGCATTTTACGCTCGAAAATGTGCACGTTACACGAAAAAAATGAAAAGGTTAATATATTGGATATGAGATATAATATCAACGTGATTTTTTAATTTGATTTTTATACTTTTGGACCATTTTTTATTATAATTATTCGAAACAATAAAATCGATGATAATGATTTTTGTGTATATGAATGAATTTTGTAAACATTTCGTATTAGTATTATTTGTTCTTACAATTTTACAATACGATGGAAGTTTAGTTTTATAAAGTGATTATTAAATTATTTATATATTAAAATATTATAATACTATATAACGTAAGTAATAAATACGCTTTAATAATTAATTGAATATATGGTACACATTTAGAAAAAGTATATATTTATGTCAGCGATTCATATTTTATGTCACGACCATCATGGCTGTCCTACTGCCACGCAAATGAAACAGAATAAATTATTATTACGATTCGATTGATTTCTTATTATCAGCAAGTGATTACTCGTATAAACATATTGAATAAATATTTGATTAGTTTTAATCTATTATTAAGCAATAATCTGCAACAATGGAAACGATATTGAAAGAAATAGTTAATTATTTCAAAATATAAATTAACTATTGGGTTGGCAACTAAGTTATTGCGGATTTTGTCGTTTCCTTCTTATTTGATATCCGCAATCACTTAGTTGCCAACCCAATATTATAAAATATTCAATGACGAATGATTAAAATGTTTTTGCATAACGAATCTATTTACAATCGATATTATAGGTAAAATTGACTACCACCTGATTTTGTCCCAAGATGGCACTATACTAGTGCCATCGAAACCATTGAAATAAGAAGATTGATCCGGGAAGTGAATACTGCGTCTGAATACGCGATATATACAATTATTCGAAGATAGAAGTATTAGAAGGTACATTAATATCGTTACAAAAATATAGACATGATTAACACCGTTGAGTTTTTTTTTATTTAATTTGCGTATATATACCTTACTGTTGAAACAGCAGATTAACAGATTTTTTACGTAGTATATGTATTCTTATACATTACATATTGTTTTAATTCATTAAATTACAACAAAATTATTTTTGAAATCTTTTATAGAAGATCCCAGAATTAATATATTTATCATGCCCGATAAAACATTGCCGAAGTTGTCGAACTTAACTTTAGGTACGTATATGATAGGTTATAATATAGAAAAAGAGATAAAATATCGTGTTTAGTAGTATGATGCAATTTTGTAAAACATTATAAATTGCTATCACGCAGATATGTATTAACAAATAAAGCTGCTCCTTTCATAATAATCTTATAATAAAATCTTATAATAAAAATATTTCAAACTATAATAATTAAAAATACATTTATGTAATTATATATTATTTCCTTTATTTACAAACTTTGTTTTTTTCTAGGTGAAATTTATACATCGGAGAAAAATGGTAGTGATGAAAATGGAGATGGCACAGAACAAAATCCTTTTAAGACGATTTTACAAGCAATGAGACATGCCGGTAAAGAACCTTTCCCATTGATCTACCAAGATTCACGAGATAGTGAAAAAAGATATGAACCAGCTAGTAAATCCCAATTAAAAAAAATTCAAAAGATTTGGACAAGAGAGCAATATAAGAATGAGGAAAAGCAAGCAAAACTACAAGAAGATGAAGAAAAAAGATTAAAAAATTTACAGGAAGCTAAAGAAATTGTCATTGAAGAAGATAAGAGTTTCCCAGATGCAATAAGGATTAAAATAAATAAAGCTTTAGATTATAGAGACAAAAGAATTAAAATATTTGGATGGATACATAGATTGAGACGCCAAGGTATGAAAAAGTTATTTATATAATGTAATTTTATTATGTCACTAATCAAATTGTTCGTTTATAGGAAAAGCTCTTATGTTTATTACACTAAGAGATGGAACAGGTTTCTTACAATGCGTATTAAATGATAAACTGTGTCAAACTTATGATGCATTAACACTTTCTACTGAAGCTTCAGTAGAACTATTTGGAACTTTAAAATGTGTTCCTGAAGGGAAAAGTGTATGACTTTCATATATACTTTTATATATGTACTATATACTTTTAATTGATGTTAAGCATAAATTTATTAATTAATTCTATTCAAAATTAAAGATATAAATGTTAACATTCATAATTTATAGGCACCTGGTGGCCATGAATTGTGCGTTGATTATTGGAAATTGATTGGAGAAGCTCCACCTGGAGGTGCTGATTCCATTTTAAATGAAGAAGCTCTTCCTGATGTACAATTAGATAATAGACATATTATGATTCGCGGTGAAAATGTATGTAACAACGATAATTTTAGGTTGTATTATTAATTTTCTATTAATATATTTTTTGTATAGACAGCACGTGTTCTAATGATGAGATCTGTATTAATGCAAGCTTTTAGAGATCACTATAAAGCAAGAGGTTATTATGAAGTAACGCCTCCTACATTAGTACAAACCCAAGTAGAAGGTGGTTCAACTTTATTTAAATTAGACTATTTTGGGTAAATTAATATAACAAATATAAAGAATTTTTTAGATAACTTTGCATATAAAAGATAAATCAAAATAGAATATTTTTTTCAGAGAAGAAGCATATTTAACTCAAAGTTCTCAACTTTATCTTGAAACATGTATTCCAGCAATGGGAGATGTTTATTGTATTGCTCAGTCATACAGAGCAGAACAATCAAAGACAAGAAGACATCTTGCTGAGTAAAGATAATGATTTATTTATTTTTTATATAAATAGATATACGAATAAAACTTTAAAATGAAGTTCAAACTTATAGGTATACACATGTTGAAGCCGAATGTCCTTTTATAACATTCGATGACCTGCTCGATCGAGTAGAAGATTTGATCTGTGATGTAGTGGAGCGTGTATTACAATCTCCCCTTGGTTATTTGGTTAAAGAATTAAATCCAGAATTTAAAACGCCTAAAAAACCATTTAAGCGAATGAACTATAGCGATGCTATTGAATTTTTAAAAGTTAATAATATAACAAAAGAAGATGGAACTTTTTACGAATTTGGAGAAGTATAATAAAATTTTGCGTTTTGATAATTTGATTAGAAACATGAATATTATATTTTAAATGATATCTTTCAGGATATCCCAGAAATGCCAGAAAGGAAAATGACAGACATGATTAATGAGCCTATTATGCTTTGCCGCTTTCCTATGGAAATTAAATCTTTCTATATGCAACGTTGTCCAGAAGACAAGCAACTTACAGAGTCTGTAGATGTTCTTTTACCAAGTGTAGGTGAAATAATCGGTGGTTCAATGCGTATTTGGGACTATAAAGAATTGATGGAAGGATATACTCGGGCGAATATAAATCCTTCACCATACTATTGGTATACGGATCAGGTAAATAATAGCCAAATAAAATAGTAATATGATTACTTTACTTATAATCATATACTTAAAATTCGTTACTGATTTTAGAGAAAATATGGTTCATGTCCACATGGAGGATATGGGTTAGGTCTGGAACGATTTCTTTGTTGGCTACTAAATAGGTATCATATTCGGGAAGTGTGCTTATATCCACGCTTTTTGGAACGTTGTCGTCCTTAAGCTCTTTAAAATTATTTACATGAAATTTAATGTAATTTCCATAGTTTTAAGTAAAACAAAAGGCTCATTACTGATAAACTTAATTTTCAAAATAATTCAATATACATAATAAGTTTACTTATTCTTTAAAAGAGAAAGGGATAATATGTATATCATTTTACTGTTATGATATATACATATATATAAAAAATATGATATATGAATGTAATTGGTAAATATAATATATCAATAAGTTGTGTTCTTTTTCATGTATGTAAATACATGCATATATCCTCATTAAGTGTCGAAACAATGTTTTTTAATTTTGATATGTAATAAATATTTACTATTGTTATATCATTATTTTTCTATAAATTAGTTTAGAAAAAAACTTTTTATTAACAATTTATATGATGTGCAGTAAATGGCACTTCAATATATACGAATATATATTAATTTATATATTATTCGTCATTTTCAAAAATTGAAATACATCACGGAAAAACATTGATTAAAAAGATTGGAAACTCGACTTAAAATATATTCTTAGACTATGTATCGATTTATCGATAGACCTTTTTGTTTTCATTGGTTTAAATCGTTCGACTGAATCATGGCTACATGATAGAGATTTAATTAAAACAGAGTGCTTATTAATATTTACACCAAACTGACTATCTATTTATTCACAATGTTTACTTCAGTTATTGACTAATATGTCAAATAAATAATCATATGAAAGTTGTGTATATACATTTGTCAGATCTGTGTTCAGATTTTCTTAATATTATTGTAATTATTAACTATTAATCGAAATGACATCAAAACCTGAAATTACTTTGGAACACTTTTATATCTTCAATGGCACATATGCAAAAAAAGAAGGCGAAGTGAGTATCTTAATATAATTAGGAATATTAAGGATATTTCATAATATTCAAATTATAATAATGTAAATTTGTTTAAAAAGGAATTATATAGATTAAACAGTGAATTTACATAAACATAACCTTTATCATTTTTGTAAGTGTTTTCATATTCATGTAGGAGGAGAAAAAAATACTTTATTATTACCCAGAAAAAGAATTAGATGTACAAATTAAAAATATAGGTCTTAGTGAAGCAATTATTAAATTCACGGAGTATGTATAATCATGTTTTATTTATTATGTTATTATAAAAATGATTTAATTTAGATTACTTTTATTCTTATTTTTATTTAATAAATTAGATCTTTTAATCCTGGACAACCTTGTGATTATTGTCATACACATAAAACTCGTCAAATTTACTATCAACCAGAACCAGATTTTTGGATGGTAATGGTAAGATAATGTGAAATAAAATTATAAGTATGAATGATGTAAAATAAAGGTTATATTTTATGTTTCTATCACAGATTGTTGGTATACCATACATCTGTAGAGAAAAGGATGGTAACAAATATATGGAATATCAAAATGATGAAGTCTCGAGTAGTGTTTGTCAAGCTATATTAAAACAAACTTATGTTATGTTTCGATTATTTATGGGTTCCTTTGAAACGATAATTAATGATCCTGATTGTGGTTCCATAACTCTATTAAAACATAAACTTGAGCATTTCTTTTCAAGAGTAAGTAATAGTTTATGTATTAAATATAGCAATATATTGTACATTAATATAATTTATAACAAATGTTTACAATCTTACATTGTTACAAGGATTTATCTATACATATTTGTTTTAGTACCTGCTATCATTAAAATTAAATAACAGTGATATTTTGGATGTTTTTCAAGGTTTGCAATTTTTACCTCTTGACAAAATCACATTTTTACAAGTACAATGTTTTATGAATCTTGTAGAAGCAATGTTTTCTCAAGTCAAATATACAGCATTTCTTTACAATGATCAGGTTGTATGGTAAATAGTTTTAATGCTTTAATAGTTTTATATTACAAATACAATACAAGTCAGATGGTTTCTCATATATATTTAGGAGTGGATTAGAACCAGAAGATATGCAAGTAGTATATAATTATTTAGTAAGCACATTATTACCAGCTCATCTTGAAAAAGAATTACACGGAGGATCAATGCCTCGAAATTCTCCATCACCATTCACGAGTTCCCATTATGGAAAGTATGTATAAATCTTTTATTATGTATTACAAAACATTATTATCTGCAATTATATCAACAGGTTTATTATTGGACCTTCCAGTATCAATGAACCAAGTTTAATAGGAAAATCTCCCACAGTTTTCATTAATTATTCAACCAAACCTGTATCTTTATATTTAGTTGTGTATCGTGCGTTAAGTGCTACAATATGTCTCTTTGTTGATAGTAAGTTAATCGAGAAATAGAATTCTTTATGTTATAATGTTATATACCAGGGTAATTAAATATTATGATTATTCAGAAGTTGCAACGAACTATTGTCGAGATAACATGTTTAAAAGAAAATATTTATTAAATTATTTAAATGTATTATATATATTATATATATTATATATATTATATATAATATATAGTATTATCATTTATATATATAATAAAGTAACTGTGTAATTATATATATAAATATATATATTTATATATAAACTTTTTCAGGTAAAACAAATTTGTTAATAGACTTTTTTAAGAGTTTAGATAGTTTTCTTGGCCCACAATTAACTACATTAGTTAGTTGTGTGGCTGAACAATGTGCAAAACATGTTATAGTGACACCAGAATCATCTACAAAATATTTATATTTTAATAAACTTAATCTTGCTTACAAAAGTACAATACATTTAGATAATAGAAGGTGTTCTAATGTATTAACTACTCCTGAAGTATTAAGGATCATTACTGATATATATAACGATACTAATAGGTAAGAATTTTATATCCTTAGTTATATCTTAGTAATTTTCTAAATTATGAATTGACATTGTGAGGTTATCATACTTTTTTGTTATTCAGGTTAAAAGAAGCTGGTGAGATCATTATTAAAACTATAAGTGATTATTGGGTTATTGGAAAATTATCGAATTTGAGAGAATTTTTTGTTGTAATACAGCAAAAGAGTGCCAGTATTCTAGAGATCGACGGTATGTACATTTTTTAAATGTGCACAGACTCAATTTTGTTTTGTTATAAAGTATCCTATATACTTCAAGAAAATATTTATATTCTCCAAGAAAATATTTATATTCTCTAAGAAAATATCTATATAGTCTAAGAAAATATTTATTCTTTTTATATTTCCAAAGTTGTTAATTTCTTGATATCTATTACAGATGAAGTAAAAAGACTCTGTGACAAACAATTAAAAAGTATATTTTTCCACTGAATAAATCTCCAGTGTTCAAAAAATTTAGAAAATGTATATTTTAACAAATAATATTCATTTTTGTTTGTAGTTGTAATTTGATAAACAAAGATACTTTTAATTATGTATCAATAATACATTTTTTGAGAACTGATCTTTTAATTGCAATTTTATAAACAAGTTGTATAATTTATTTCTTCAATGTTATGTAAAATATATATAATATATCCATATATATATTTAAATGTATCTATTTTCTTAAGGCACGATATAAACATTATAAAATCATTTACATTTTTATGTAAATTAATTTAAATTTATATTATATTAATATTTTAATATTAATATTTTAATATTAATATTAAAAATTAATGAAGTAATGTTAGATCTTAAATATATATTGTAGTAATATTTTTAATTGGAAAGAATGTTAAATTGTTTATATAATTTTCACTCCAATGTTTCCTTTATTTGTTCTTGTTTAGAAATAATATTAGAAAATTTTTTAAGTTTTGCTACAAAAAATCCATCCATGTTGTGCGCATGTGGATAAAACCGTTTAGACAATTTAAGAGAAGGATGAAATCTATATTGTCTATAATTTGTAAAACCGTCAGCACCAAATTCTAAACCAGTAGGTACTAATTTGACATCACGTTTCTTCAAAGCAAAATCAATAATCCACTCATTTTCTTCTGGAAGAACTGAACATGTTGAATAAACTATAATACCACCTGACTCGGATCTAGCATTTACACAATCTATAGCCGCTAGTAATAACTCTCTTTGTAAAGTACAACAGCGTTGTACATCTATTTCATCTTTATTGGTTTTTACACTAGGATCTTTTGCAACAACACCAGTGCCAGTGCATGGAGCATCCAATAATACTCTATCAAATCCTTTAATAATCTAGAAATATATAATTTAATTAATTATGTATAAACAATACATTTTATCATGCAAAAGTAACATGTTGATAACAAGCTTTAGTGTGTGTGTGTGTGTGTATTATACTTACAGAAGATAATTTTCTTCCATCATAACTGCAAATAATAGAATTGGCAATGCCAAGTCGATGAAAATTACCAACAATAGCTTTTATCCTGTCTTGATTTATATCATTAGACAAGAGAATACCAGTATTTTTCATAAGTGCAGCAATATGAGAGGATTTTCCTCCTGGTGCTGCACACATATCTAGAATTCTTTCATTTTCCTTAGGATCTAATGCCATAACAGGAAGAAAACTTGATGCACCTTGAATAATATAATATCCTGCTAAATATTCTGGAGTTGCACCCATTGGTACTTGTGATGAATACACTACTAATCCAACTTTTGTCCATTTTCCTATAGGATCTAGATTAACACCTCTGTTGATTAATGCCTAAGGAAGTAAAAAAATTGTTATAAATAATAAGTAATAATAAAATAATTAAAATACTAAAATTATAAATATTTATTATTTTTTATGAATTTACTTCTGCTAAGTCACGACGCCGAGTTTTTAGTGTATTTGTACGAATGGTCATAGGCCTTTGTACTTCGCTCGCTTCTAAGAATTCAAGTAATTCATCCAATGAAAATATCTGCATTAATTTTTCCAAAAGAAAATTATTATAACTATAGTATGTGCACAGATCATGTTGAAGCAAATTTAAATACTCTGAGCGTGATCTAAAATGCAATGTAACAGTAGTTATTTTCGTTACAATAATCATGACACACATAAGAAAAAACATATTAGCAAATATACCTATTTTCTTCTCGTAATTTTTTAAAATTTGATAATACCATAATAACATCTCGTATACGTTGTTGTATATCTTTTAAGTCTGTAACATTTGCAAGTTCTTTTTCCATTGGAAATGAAAACATATTTTGGTGGGTTGCCATTTCTTTCATTTCTGCTTCTGCAAGTTCCCTATTAGATTCAAATATTTAAGTATATTTTACCTATAGAAATGTGATTAACTTTTTATACTAATATATATGATGAATTATAAATCATACAGTAAGTTATATATTCTTAATGATTATAACATACGCATATTATGATTTATTAATTATAATTTTACTTATTGTAATGTGTCTGCATTTTGACTTTATTCTATAATTTCTTTTTTTAATAACATTGTAATTATTTACAAATGAATCTGTTATAATAATTTGTTTACTTACTCTTCTTTTTCTTGTTTCTTCCTTAACTTTTTATTTGCCTTTTCTATAGGTAATAAATCATCTTTTTCATCAAGATTCATGTTTCCAGTTTCTTCATCTTCACTAAATTCCATATCATCAGTTTCTTCTTCTAAATCATCAATCAATAATTTATTTGTGTTTTTTAATTTCTTATTTTGTACTTCATTATTTTTATCAAATCTTTTATTTTTGTAATTATTTTTCTCATCATTTTTCTCTTTTCTTGAATCTGTATAATCATTTTTTGTTTTCATAGCATGAACTAATGTCTTATCTTTAGTTTTGTTTATTTTTTTATTCTGTTCTTTATTAGATATAATTAATAATTCACTTTTATTATTTATTTCCGTATCACTACTTTCTTCTAAACTAGATTCTGTATTAATAGTTGTTGCTTTCACAATATTTTTCAATGATGTGCTTTTAATTTTCTTAGATTTTTTACTTTGTGTTTTCTTATTTCTATTGTATTGCTTATTATCAATATCAATTTCTGTATTATTATTTGTTAATTCATCAAACTCTGTATTGTTTTCTTTTGTAAGTTTAGGTAAAAGTTTTGTTTTTATTTTCCTTTTTAGCTTGTTTTGTACTTTATCATTTTTACTGGACACTGTATTTTCTTCATTAATTTCCATGCTATTGTTTATATCTTCAGTAATATTATTTTTAACAGCATTAACTATATTTTTCTTTATATCTCCTTTACTTTGTATACTATTCCGTATATCTTTAAATTTTTTAATATTTTGTGCATTTTCTTTTAATTTTTGTTTCTTTAATAATCTTTTTTTAACTCTTTGTTTTTGACGATGGCTTAATGTGCTTTCATTTTTCACTGTAATATATAGAATATACAATAACTTTTTATGTTAATTATAAAAATAAATTAATACTTAAATCTATAACTAAAATAAATTAATTTAATATACCTGCCAATCCAGGAAATACTGGATCTCCTTGCTTTTTCGTCTTTTTACCTTTACCACTAGGTATAACTGTCTTATCGAATTTCGCTTTTCGCCCCATTTAACTAAAAACGACCAATTTTTATAACAATAAATTTATTGAATTCAATTGTTTATTATAGAATAATTCACACTAATTTGTTGTTTAGTTCGTTAATAGATACCAACTGAAATTGTATTTACACTTTAACAAAACTTATATAGAAGATATGTGGATTCTTTTCTTCTGTTGTATATCTGTCATAAAATAATCTTGTATTATTGATTATGTAAATAAAATGTAATTAAACTTACTAACTATTTACAATATTCTCAAAGCTGAACACGTGAATCAGGCATCCATAACCTCTTACTTCTTTTATTGACTCTTTTCAGAACCTTCGAGTTTTTAAAAAATCTGCCCACAATTTTAATTCTGTATTTTTAACGTTAGGTGGCGTAATAATTTATCGAATTCTTTATTTTATTTGAATGATGTATGAATTTCTATCAAATACATGTAACTTATCGATATGCTGTTTATTTATTAAAAATATAATTTTAATGTAATATTCAATCGCGCCCTGATATTTACATCAATATTCCGATGTACTCATAGCGCCATCTGACTTTGTAAGTACAAGGTTGAAATTGTAGTCTATGTTTTATATTGTAACTAAGATTTCTTATATCTATAACTATTACAAATAATCAAATAAGGCGTACTAAGGAAATGAATCAAATGCGTAGCGATTTAGGACAAAATCTATAAATAAGTACTAAAATAATAATTTATGAAATTATCTAATATTCTATTCATGGCATAAAAAATAAATTATTATATTCCGACATAAGAAAAAATACTTAAAATAAGAAGATTTATTCAAATGAAAACATTCATTTAACCTTTCAAAAATGTTTCAAAGGTTTGTGTAATATTTTAAATATACCATAGTAGTAAAAGGTTTTTATAGGCAAAACAATCTTCTAATTTCTTAATAGATATTTTCAATAGTAATTAGTAATATATTAAAAAATTGTGAATTTATAAGTTTTATTATATGATTTTTTGTAGATGTGGAAGCCTATGTTTAAATAATTTGAAGTTGCAATCACATATATCTTCAAGATATGTGAGTATATTATCAAAAACAGAAGCGAAGAAAAGAAGAAATGAGCTCTTCGATGAACAGAAAAGAATTCAACGAGCTGCTATTGGTAGAATAGAAAAAATTGAAATTAAATATCAATCACCTATAGAGGAAGTTGTTTTAGTTATGAATAAAGATATCTCAACTCCTCATGATTGCGCGAAACATATTTCTGAAGGTATTACTAATGTATCTGCTTTAGCATTAGTTGATGGAAATCCATGGGATATGCATAAACCTTTGACATCTAATTGCAACTTAGAACTTTTGAGCATGTTGACTCCAAAGATAAGTACAGTGAATTATGCTTTTTGGCGAACTTGCTCTTTTATCTTGGGTGCTATAGCAGATACTGCTTTTAAAGATGACATAACAGTACATTTACACAGTTTTCCAACACCTGTAATAAAATCTGGAAGTTTTGTACATGATGTATTTATTGATTTACATGATTGGAAACCATCGGAGGCAGAGTTAAAAGCAATGTCTGCTTTATTTGTAAAACTTATAAATAGTGGGTTACCTGTAGAAAGACTAGAAACAACAGAAAATATTGCTAAAGAAATGTTTCATGAAAATCCGTTTAAATTTAGACAAATACCTGATATTGCTGCTCATAGTATTGATAATAAAATTACTCTTTATAGAATAGGAGATCATATAGATATTAGTAAAGGTCCAATGATAAGTAATACAAATATAATAGGACGTTGTACTGTTGCTGCCGTTCATAAATTAATGTCAGACGATGACGAAATTATTTATCGTTTTCAAGGAATCGCTATTCCTAAAGGTATCCTCCTCAATCATTTCGCATATAGTATATTAGAAGATCGTGCTAAAAAACTAAATGATATAATGTGGCAACCACAGAAAAATTTGGAAGAAGATTTTGCAGAAAATATACAATTAGGTATTAAAAATTAGAAAGTTGGAAAGTATTGTATAAATGCATATAAACTTTATAAATTGTAATTTTTTGTTAATTTGTTTAAACCCTACTTTATTCCTTATTGATTTAATTCTTTATTTATAGATTTTACTTAATTATTGTAATATTATTGATAAAATTATTTATATATATATATATATATATATATATAAATATTTATATATATATATAAATAATATATATATATATATATATATATATATATATATATATATATAATTTTTATTTTCTCAATAATTTAAATGCGGAAGTCATTTAATTTTATTAACATTTTTATAATATTAATGCTAAAATTTTTAGAAAAATAAATTAAAATGTTCATAAAGGAGTATTATTATTAATTTTATGCAAATAAATGAGACATTATAATAATGTTATTGGAAGATAAAATCTAGTATATAGTTTATAGTAGATATAAATTTTTAGTTTTAGAAGGATGCTTTTTAAATGAATTCCTGACAAATTATAAACATGTAATCAAAATTTTGATGATAATATATAAAACATGATAAAAATTTTGATTTTTATTAATATAATAGATTATATGTTAAAATTTAATAGATTATATGTCAAAAATATAAAAATTATATAGCAATTTTTCCAATATCTTTTGCTTATCAAAAGATTACATCAATTCTAATAAAAGTATATCATTTTTCTGTTTTGTGTTATAATTAAAAAATTTATTTGTAATGTACTAAGAAGAATGACGTATATGACGAGAACTATTAAGCTCCCAAGTAAAATTTCCTGGTAATCTATTAGCCAATGAAGCAGGACACATGATATCGAGTTTTAAATAAAGTTCTGGGCGATTAGGAGTTTTTGTATATATTTCTAGCTCATTGGACTGCAATAAAGTTCTTACAGTAAAAGGTGCCAGTTCTAGTGAACATTTTAATTCTACAGCTATGATGAGATTGAAACAAGGCGTTCCATGAATTTTTTCAATATCATCTTGGGCATTTTCGTGGTCAGTTACTGGTAAGGATTTGATTTTGCTCTCATAAGCATACTTATTCATGTTCCCATAATAAAAGAATTGTCCACCATATTCTCCATAACCAGAATATGTGGATACTGGCGGTATTCTTGGAGGTGGTATGGACGGTTCCTATATACAAAGCTTTTTATTTAATATTGTATGTATGAAATTATGAAAATATTTATACTTTCATGTAAATTGAAAGAGTTATTTAAGATAAAAAAAATGATGAGTTTCAATTAAATTTTATATAGCAATAATTATTAAAAGGTGACAATATAAAATTATATAAAAAAATAAAAATATTAGTCATCACATTATAACATAAATGTTACCTGAAAAAGTAATTCTCGTTCATATTGTAAATTTTCATAATAATGTTCATTGACACTGCTAACTAAACGACGTAATCTGAGGTACATAAAACGCTGCTGGTCTTTCCAAGAATTTTCATCAGGTATACTTGGAATTTTTAGACAAGTGAACCAAGCTCGTTTTATTACATATTTTAGCTTCATACTAATAATATCATTTTTGATTCCTTCATTAGACAATATATTAAATGATAAAACTTGACGTCCTTCTGCAAGACAGTCTAGAACATCTATAGCTTTACATCCGGACACCAAAACAGATCTAATCATAAAATTACTTTGTAAGTACATAGAAAATAAAAATTATATTTGGAAAAGGAGGTATTGTACATTTATCTTTTATTCATTTATATATTTCTGCATTTTATCATATAAGTATATTTCTTTTTACCTGTTCACTTTGCATTCAGAATTTTTTTCAAAATAGTTCATAAAGCGCTTGCAATCAGATATAAAGAAAATAATGCTAGAATCTGGCGGATGGAGCCCAAATAAAGAAACAGGACAATTTATAGCACGATGAAGCAAATTATTTAAATTATCAAGCAGACTACCAGCATAAAAACAAAGTCGTGAAAATTTCTCTGGTTTTGAAGGATGTGTATATCTCCAAGTTACAGCTCTGAGCATCTTGTATTGTGCCATGACCATTTCTAGGATATTGAATACTCTGCTGAAGGTTAGTAGGTCAGCACCTGTCTTAACTTTCATTATCATTGTTTCTGTATGTTTCATTACACTTTCAAGTTTTGTACCAGCAATAAGAAATGAAGTATTCAAAACTATCGTAGCGACGTTCGAACAACGTCTGAAAAAATCATATAGTCTTTTGATTTATTTGCTATTATTATGTATAAATATTAACCGGTAATCACATTTAAAAACGCAAGTATAATAACTGATTACAAATATGAATCACCGATTAATATTTATTCCTGATAATAAATAAATGATGATAGTGATTATATCAACATATTTTTATCAAGGTGAGAATTTATTATATTTCAATGAATATTCGTTAGATATTTCACCTGGACACTAGACGAACGGCAGTAGCTACATCATGTAAGGGTAATAAACGTAATACTATTTCTAAAATTTCTGGTGGAAGTGTGTCCAGAGTGTGGTAGTAAAAACTTTCATCGGCCGTATGCTTTTGCATATTCTTCTGCTCTTTGCATCTCGATGACGTTTTCCGACGCTTATTTGGGTTCATTTGAAAAGAAATGCTAATAAAAGCTATGTTCTTAATTCTGATAAAATTTTGTCTTTTCGTATTGTGTTTCAAATTTTGTACAAATGTAGCCAACGAAATATCATTATTTTGTTAAACATATCAACGTAATATAACGTTTCGTCGTTAGAAAATAAATATATTCGTATATTATTATTAAAATATATTCGAGTGAAAATTTAGTAAAAACTAAAATGTCATATAATGTCTGCTATAATAAAACAAAAGAATCATTCCTTGAAATAGTTCGTTCATTATAATTGTGTTTAAACACAATTAATATTTTTAAAAGTATGTAATGTTATAAAAACGCAAGTCGCAGAATTCTTGGTAAATACCCGCTATTACCTATAAATATAAAATTATTTCCTACTATTGAAGTAATATAATAATATTTGTATTCTATTAGGATGATATAGATGTGTTAAAATTACGAGTAATAAAGTTAATGACTCTGGCATTTCGTCGACACATCGATATTAAAATTTTATTAAAATATTCTAGAAATGGTGCACAGCAAATAACGTTACATTTATTTGTTATTTTCTTTGTTCCATCGTAAGCAAATTTAAGATTTATTCGTCTTCTTTCGATAACAAAATTTTGTATAAGAATTTTCGACGAGACAAAACAAAAGAATAATTTAATAACTTCATCATTGTTATACATAATACATTGATTTTACCATTAAAAAAGATATATAAAGACTATGTAGAAAAAAAGTTCAATACACCATATATAAGAAATTGAAACTCGTTAATGCTAATTTTTTTTTTATCGGTGCATCTTCAGAAAACTAACAAAGATTTCAACGTAAAGTCTATCATATCTCTAGATATACATACGAGAGAAAAAGCTTTTAAATCAATACATTCGATACGTCTTATTGTTAAGCGGTAAAGTTCACCGGCATCAAGAGAGTAAATTTAGCCTGATCGACTGGCACTTCCTCAGATGCACACGGACTGATGCTATCCAAGAGATTTTGTATAGCACTCTGATTTCCAGGATGCTTTCTTTTGGTGTGTTCGCGTCTGTGCTTCAATTCCTTGAACGTCTTTCCGCACTGCTCGCATACGTAAGGCCTCGCTGCTTCGTGGGAACGTACGTGTCCCTCGTAATGACTCTTTCTCACAAATTTCTTGCCGCACTGGGCACAATCAAACTGATAACGACCTTCGTGTGCGGCTACGTGGGAGCTCAATGTCCATTTTGTTTTGAAAGTCTTCGAACAGTAGTCGCACCTAATTTTTGTCGCGACTTTGCCACTAGCAACATCGACTGTTTTATCGGAAGACGATGTTCTTCGTGGATTTTTATGCAGTAGGAGCATCTCTTCGAGAAGGAAATCATCCTCCTTTTCATTTTGTGGCATCGTTTGGGCCGACTGAGTGTGCAAGATAGCACCCGCGTGTTGCTTCATATGTTCCTGCATATCGGCTTCGTTCTGAAGTTGTAACCCGCATAGAGTGCATACGTTCTTCGCCATTGTCTGAAATTTCGATATTATATATTTGAAGATCAAGGATTGATATTAATTTTATACAATGTTAAAAATAATTTTATTATCTGTGATTACCTTAACAATGATTACCTTGTCATGCATAGCGAGATGAGCCTTAAATTTGCCCTCCTCTAAGTATCTCTTTTTGCAACGAGGACATGTGTACGTTTTAACGTTAGTTTCTGTATCTCTAGGAATTTCTGTCTTAAAGGACTCGTTCGTCCTCAAAGCAGAGTCGTTTACGAGATTCTTTGCATATTCAAGACAACCGATGACCAGTTGTCCCTTCTCACCATCCATCAGCTTTTCTTTCCGCATTTCATGTCGTGCGATGTGACGCTTCAAATCATGTGCCCTTGAAAAAGCGCGACCATATCGTGTACAAGTGGGATAAGGGCAACCCTTCGTCTTATCATTTCTAATTCGCGGCGTAGCTCCATTTGGTGAACGTTGCTTTGCATCCTTCCCACAATCCTTACAAGATGCTTTCTCGACCTTTTGTCCGGAAACAGTGGCCAATTGAGCGGACAACGGTATCACTATAGAAATGGTCTCATTCGAACCTGGCGTTATTATCGGACCGACATGTATCGCTGGCGGTGTGGTTAATGACATATTGTTATTATTGTTGTTATTATTATGATTGTTGTTATTGTTATTGTTGTTTCTGTTCATGTTTGATCAGCCAACGAAAGTCCTTTTATATCATCCAGTTAATAGCGTTGTCTATTTTCGTACCTGAAATAAAGATGTTTTGAGCAAACAAACAAACAAACTAATTAATGAAAAGAGCAGAAATTCTTAATTTTCAAATGTTTGTAAATAGTATATAGGATATCTAATTTATAACATCATACATATTAGAAAAAGAAATATTATTATTACATATAAAAAGGAAAAAATTCTATAAAATTTGCTTGAAAGTTCTTTTATTCGAAATTTTGTCTAGTTACTGAAATATTGACTTTTAACAAATTGAATGACTCATCCTATATATAGGATTGTATGTACATGTTGTAAAAGGAAAATAAGAAATTATGAAAAAACGAATAACAATGATAAATAGATTATAAACTAATAGATATAAGAAAAAAAATTAAATGATCGAAAGAAACGTTTCAACGGTCATACAAATTCGTCGTCTTGTTACGTACTGTACAATCTAACGCATTCCGTATTATTTCAAGTTCAAAAAGGCATAATCAGCGCATGAAGGTTATACGAAAAGTTCGAATTAACGTTTCTTCTGATTTGAATTTGTCCATCGTCGGCATCGTAAAAATCACCGTTACCAACGTATTCCATTCCGTTGAAGCATAAATATAAACGTATCGTTCTGTTACGTTACGATGCGGACTATAAAAGACGTAGCCATTTTGAATCAATTCGATATTCGTTAAACCCTCTTTTTCTCGACGCACCCATTTTTCTCCCGAAAAATTTGCCTTTAAAGCGCGTTACTCTTTCGTTCTTGAAATCGAGAAAAGAAAATCGAAGGTCAAAGGAAATAACATTGTAATCGGATCACGGAAAAGAATCTAATCTAATAGCATCGAAGCATTCAACGCCGTCTCTTACTTCGTGTCGCAGTAGTCGGCGCGTCCGTTTTCTCCCTTCCGAGGGACTCCCTTTGGAATAAAAGGCTTCCCCCGGCGACGTTCTTCCGTCTACCGTTTCAGGAAATGTTTCATCGAGTCTCCCTCTCGTTCCTTCTTTTTTCCATTTTCGTATTGAGCGCGTCTGCACGTGCAGTCGTCATCATTTTCTTCCCTTCCACGATGAGAAACCGATTCTATTCCTTCGCGTCCTTTTCTTGCCTGTTTCTGCGGTCAATGTCGCGTCTCTATCCTTCGCATTTCTCGTTTCTTCTTTACTTTCTCGCGTATATATCTCGATTCGAATCCTATAGGTATTCGAAAGACGACGAAAATAAAGAAAAAAAAGGAGAGAAGGGGAAGGAAGAAAGAGAAAGTAATAGAGTCAAGCTACGATCTCTTTTGGAATTGAAACATGTTTTTACGATGAGTCGACGTTACTGCAACACTGTCTCTCCCTTTCTCCATGCTCTCTCTCTCCCTCTCTTCTTCTTTCTACCGAACACTCTCTTCTCGCGATTCTCGTCTTTCACTTCTCTTTCCCCATCTAATCGTCTCTAACCACTTTTTTTTCTTTCCCACCTAAGTTTTCTCGAAGAAATGACGGTCTCCCTCACTTTCCTCCGCTCGATGAAAGTGTCCTACTGATTGAGAACGTACACTCTCACTCCCGACTGTACCGCTCGCCATGGACGCGAGAGGTGGAGTGTATTCGTGCGTCGTCGCTGGTTCGTACCCTCCCTCTTCACGCCGCTCCCAATCTACCCTTGGCGTCCCTTTCTGTCTTTCGCGACTACGATGACGTATCAGTAAGGGTCACGTGATCCACTTTTGGCTTGCGCGGGATAAATCTGTAGATTTAAATATACCTACGTAATTTTAAACCTGATAAATATATATTTAAATATCTTATCTATTCAAATTATATATTTTTAAAGAATAAAAATAAAAATAAAAAGTGATTTGTTTTCCTCTAAAAAAGGAACTTCTTGTGATTAAGTCTGTATGTTATTTACGATAGTGGTACAATATGGCTATTAACATTAAATGGCACACCCTTTCGTATTGTCCCCAGGGAAAGAATTCTATAGTTAATCAACTAATGGTATAAATTAATGTTTACCCCCGACAAAATTTCTACCTAATTGTAAGTCTGCACTACTCTGTTATATATTGTCTTAATATCAAATTACAAAGACTGATTTGTATTAGCTTTTTTGTTGTTATCTAAACGTTAAGTTCTCAAGTAAATGTTATTTTATTATCAGTATGCATTATTGTATGGCATTAAAAAAATATAACACATGTGGTGTATCTCTAAGCAGCAAAGAAATTTCATTATAACGCTTAATTAGTCCGAACATATTTCTATCTTTCCTATGTAAATGGAACAGTAATACTGACAACACCAGGTGTGCAATAACGTAACAAGGCATATAATGTAATTGGTAAATGTGTGTGTGTGTGTGTATGTGTGTGTATGATAAATGACGCGTTTCGAGTAAATATGACTAAAACAGATAAAATAATATGTATATAATAATAATTTATTATGTTGATTATTATCATATTAGTTCGATTAATGATTTTGTTTTGTGATTGCTTATTTTAATCAAGTACTTGAATAAAGAAACTTATGAAAATAATATAAAAAGAGCATGATAAAATTATTTAAATAATATAATGTTATTCTATATATTTTCATTATTCTTAAAATAACACGATGCGATAAATATATTGTTAAATAATTGAATAGCTGTCTGACGTATACCTGATGCATTTACTGTTCGATAACACAGAATTTAACTACGTTATTAAACTTGCGAACTTAGTACCAAAGAATTAAAATTTCACCCTTCAACTACAAGCTTTTAGCTTTTTCTTATAATTATATCAATAGAAGATATATACAATATCATACTTTGTTTCTATAATAATGTCTTGCTTCTCATTTGTTTTTTTAAGACAATATATTTACATGTATATCTATATGTAACATATATATTACAACAATAATAACAATTAGTATACAGAATGTAATAGAGTTATTTAAAATTAAATTACACTTATTGTCAAATTGGAACAATAATACTTAATACGATTTCTTGTTTCAGGTAATGCATCGAGTAGCTTTATTGGTAGATACTCTTACGTAGGCTTTCCTGTGTTGAGTGTTTCGTATTACGTTAATTAATGTATTCACTTCGATGTAATAATATGTATATACGTGGATACTTGGACTGTACTGCGTACGCCTAGCTATAAATCGATATTTCTAATTTCATCGAAGAAGCGCAACCACTTTGATTGTATTACATATATAACGTTGATGTTATGCAACGTCCCTATGAAAATGGGAGTTCGTAATATACCCTATATAAATGCAGATCTCCTTGTCTCGAGTATGGAAACGAATATCAATCGCAATAGTACGCGGATGAATTTTTCTATCTTCCGGCAAATAGCTTTTCTTCGAAAAGCTATTTTCGAAAGTTAAGAAGAGAATGTTTCCGTTACACTTTTTTCCTACTAGGTAGTTTCCTATTAGGTTTCATTCTTCTTTAAGTTATACAGGTAACAAATGTCTTCTTTATCGTACGTTGTAAATATAACGTAAAATTAAAAATAAAATGTATATAAACACATTCAGCAAAAGTTCAGAATGGCGCAGTTCTTACAAAATATTATTTCATTATGTAGCAATAGTAAAAATCGAAAAATTTCGGAAAGATTACATCAAAGATTTTGAAAATCATTTGTAAAAAACATAAATTATTAATACCTTGTAAACATTATAGATATTGACTTTTAATAACTTATGTGACTCACTTTGTGCATACATGACATACATACATATATACAAACATGCAATAATTGAATATAATCTATAAATTGTAACTTGCTTCATATAATCCAATCACGATGAATAATAATCTATATGTCGCTATCATTGTCGATAATGTTTCTTATCCAATTCAAATAGTGTTGTATCCTGGTGTAAACGTCGGGATATCCTGGTCTAGCACATCCAGAACCAAAAGAAGTAACACCGGCCAATTGCCAAACACCGTCTGAACGACGGCATTGTAGGGGGCCTCCAGAATCTCCCTGATGCAAAAACAGATATATAGAGTGAACGTTTTAAAAATGATTCAACATTTATCGATTATGTTGATAGCATTAATACCACAAACACACTGTAACCACGATGTTTTATTACGTGAAAGCGTAAGACTAATCAGAACTGAATTAGCACTTTCGAAACATAAAACATGCTCTATTACTCGACGTGAAATCCGATTCAGTATAAATGAGCGGACTGATGCGTCGCATGATCATTAAAATCGACCATTTCATGACGATAGATCGATCAGACTAATCGTCGCGTTCGTATTTTCACAAAAAAACATTACATACGATGTAGAGAAATAGAGAAAGTGTAAGAAAGAAAAGCAACATCATTTTCTTGATGCTATCCTCTAATGTTGTTTTTCTGTTTTTTCTTATTTCTTATTTTATTTACACGTCAATATAATCCAATCTCAAACGAGTTAATGTTAATTTGACGAAAGGCGCCGGGGTACAATTTGCTTGAGTGTATCGAAAGAAGACATTATAATAGTAATCTTAGTACAGCACTTGGTTCGATTCGGTCGGAAAATGGGACAGCGTGATACGAGAATTTATTTTTAGAAAGAATAAACTGATTTAAATAATTTTCTTTTCTATTTATGCTCTTTTTAACTATGACTATACGTGAATACTTACAACACAACTTCCCGAAGAGCCATCAATGTGTCCAGCACACAAGTGGCCATTAACAATAGGAACGGATTTTCCGTAAGCGTGTAAGCACTCTTCGAGATTTAACAATGGTACCGAAGCCTCGAGGAGTGCAGTCGAGAGAGATGGTGAAGGTCCATAACGACCCCAACCGGATGCTACGCAATTGCTGTCCGCGAGTTTTTCCTCCGCGTCTGGAAGACATATCGTCTTCACTACTTTGGAAAGAGGCGCTGGTCTAGCAAGTTTCATTAAAGCTAAAAGAAGATAAAAAAAAATATACGATCAGTGTTCTACATATTTCTGTTTATTCAATCACCTTGAATGGTGGCTGGTATATATATATTATTTACTGACATGTGTGACTGTTATTTTATTTCTAAATCTGATACAAGTTCGTATAATTAATTAATTGATATTCCATTCGTTGTTTAAGTATTACCATTTTTTTGATGTAACATATACTCACCGATATCGTGAACATAATTATTAAATCTCTCATGAAGTATCACTTGTTCGACGGGTAATCTGGCTGATCCACGACTACCGGAATCTAATTCTCTTTCTCCGACCACAACCGTCCATAAGGCACCGATTGGAAGATTAAAGAGATCGCTAAGAGCAAAAAGATTGATGACATCACTTTTTTTTTATACTTTTTGAAATGTTCAAATTATTCGACTAGGATGCTAACTTGTGGATACAGTGTGCTGCCGTAATGACCCATTTTGGATCGATGAGAACTCCACCGCACCAATGACCGATAAAACCTAATTTTGGATGTAGTAGCTGCAGAGAGACTTGCCATGGCCAAGATCCTCTTCTACTGGGTTTTCCATTAAAGATTCGTCCCGTCGTAGAGATAGTTGTAGAAACAGCCATTTGTCGATTGGACGTCATCGACGTCGTGGATGTTACTTTATTCTTCTCAGAAGTTGTGGATCGTGGTTGCCTATGAGATGCTGCTGGACATCCGCACTCTATTATTTCAAAAACTTCGGTTCTTCCTCAATTGCCCTCTGCGAATTCTCATGCGAGACCGATCGAAATTTAATTCACAGAGGAGGATTGAATTAAAAATTTTCTCTTTGAGATAAAACAAGGAAACGAAGTAAAATATTAATAAAACATTAATAATATTAAACATTGAAAAATGTTTCCTAGAAAAATTTGGTAGCAAAATTCTTTCTTATAACGATTTTTTTTAGAAAAAATCAAATACTCGCAACTTCATCTGAACTTACTTAAATGATCGTCTCGAATGATTTTCATCATGGTGCAATCGACCATCGCGAAAAGGAAAAGAAGAATCGCTACGAATCCACAGCGCAAATAATTCATGTCCGTTGCACGTGAAATTGTTTAACGATTCTTTCAATCGATTAGAAATAAATACAGATTCGTCGTTACATATCGTTATTGTTGTCTTGTTTTCGCCGTTGTTATCGTTACTTTTGTTTTCATTGTAATACGCACTCGAAAAACATCTTCGACAATTTTATTAATTTTTTGCGATCTGAAGCAGAGGCATTAAAGAAACGATTAAATTTTGATGAGAGAAAAGAGGCAGAGATAATACTCGTAATCGTTTGAGGAGAGATCCTGCGGAGGAACTCGAAGAAAGTGAGCGCGTCTGAAAGCACACCGCGATCGTGCTGAACGAATGCAGACTGCGAGTTCGCAAGGAATGAATATCGCTCTTGCCACGAAAGTTGCTATACAGTATCCCCGTTTTTTCGCCATTCTTTGTCTATCAAAGTGACCGGAACAAATTGCTTCTTCATCGTATATATGTTTCTATCGATGGTCATTCGAAATCAATCGAAATTTAACCGATTCTATATGCGATTGTACAAACTTTTATTTAAAAAAGAATTTTTATATGTCAAAAGCTAAATACAGTGAATTAGTAAAAATATATACTTTATTTTACGTGCAAATATGATTTTAATTAAAAAAAAAGAAGTTTAACCAGCGAAGATAATCATTTTGTTAACGAATTCTCATTAAGGAAAGGAAATTATCAGTTTCACTCATTACTATCTGCAAGTTCAAAGATATCAGTCGTATGCTCTGATTATTCAAACTACTTTGATTGCTAAGAAAGCGAGCAGGAATGATAAGAATTTTACTACGAGTAAATGTTAAATATGTTTATTTTTTAAATATAATATAAACCAGTTCTGCTGTTATTTGATTAATAACCATTTATCGGGATCTGCTTTTTAAAAATACTATCCTGTCAATGTCCATTTGAAGATAAAACAGAAAATGACAAATACTGATTCGATCGCATTCATTGCGATATTCGATCGTTATATTTTTCTATTTGCATGAATTAAACCGTTTGATTTATTGCTGTACCACTTTTTCTATGCGTAATTGCGTTTCGCTATACTTGGTTGATCACGAGTCGAAGAAGCGGACGAAGAAAGTTCATCAAAGTGGCTCGACGGCGAACCACCCATGTGTCAAATCCTTCCTTCCCTGTTTGTTTCAATCTTAATCATAGCCAGACGATCATATGCGCGACCTCAAATCCGTTGTTGAATGCTTATAATACTTGCTATCTACTTCATAAAGTGAAACCAATCGGATGCGCAATTCACAGCTTCTAAATTCTGATCGTGTAGAGAAAGTGAAACTGATTCGTGCTATTCATGTTATTCGTGTTTATGGAGAAAAAAGACGAACGATCTTTATGTCATGAAATAAAATTATTATCGCCTCTCCCTCTAAATCGAATTGGATAATCAATAATAAATAATAATTAATGGATCATTGATTTACGAATTATGAATTTCACTTATTCGAAGGTTTCATCTTTAATAATTTAATAAACGTCTCTCTTCTTTTCAGGTTTCTGCTTACTTTCTACGTCATATATTAATTATTTTTTCCGAAGAAAACTCTTTTGATAAATTTCATGGAATATTGTCCTAGAATATATTACCACTACGGTTTAAAGACTTGTGTTCTTTCATATTTACAAATTTTGTTTTTATCGTATGTTTATAGAATTATGAAATGTTGAAGTAAGCTTTTAAATATTATGAACATGTGAAATGTGTAGGTAATAATCCATTTGTTTCGTTATAGTTAATATAGTTGTCATTATCATGAAAAAAATTCTTTGCTTGATACAATTTGATACTTAATATATTTTTTTTTTACAATGTCATATCAATTGGACAGAACTTATTTTACATCTTACGTTCCCTTACGATTTAAAATGCAGCAAGTAACTGGAAACGACCACTAGAGCACGCTGTTAGCACGGATAAAGTACATTGTTACGTTATAATAGAAACTATGGTTAAATTTTAAAATGCAGTTCGTTATACTTTTTTGTGAAAAGAATCATTGTTTTTATAGATAAAATAATTATAAAACAAGAATATTTTATAAGCAGCATAAGAAAACATGGTAAATAATTATTAAACATGAATATTTTATAAGAAAAATAGGAAAACATTGAAATTTTGACTGCTTCGAGATATCAACGATATCAACTAGAAGAGTAATCAAATATGATTGGTTATTAAAATTTTCGATTATTTTCGATTATTGAACATAAAACTGGAATTTTTACATAACATAATTTTGTTATTTAATTTCAATTATGAATTATACTGTATTCAATTATTATCGTAGTAAAGCAATAATCATCTAAAATCGATGAATATCTTTGTTATGGCGTGAAAAAAAGAAAATGAATAAGTATAACTAATGATTTTTTCAAAAAGTAACATTCCTCTATACTTTCGTAAAAAACGTTTCTGGAAAAGGAAAAAAGTATCGTATATAAAATCAGTAGTAATAGGTGTATTTCAGAACATACTTGTCGTGATCGACGGACGACGCATAAGTATTGCGTCACGTGGGCAGGCGCACGGAGCGCGTATTTGTGAGAAATCTCTGGCGCCCTGGTGGCGGTCTTTGGAGCGGCCATATTTTCGCTCGTGGCTCGCAGTCTCCGAGGTAGTGGTTCAGTGACAATTTTTGGGATGCGACAGTCGAAATCATCAGTACTTGTGCTGCTGGATCCATAAAAGAAGGAGAAACGGCAGCAAAGATGGCTAAAAGTAGCGGGAATTTATCTTCAAGACGATCATCGTCGCACAGTACGAAGCCTTACGATACGAACAACGTGAGTAGAGTCATATTGGCACGATTTGCCCGCGAGAGAAACGAATCTGCGTTCCTTTCAACGGTCCTTCGCGCCTTTGTACCGAAATTAGAACGACCAACGGATTACTACTCCCGAATACCGTTCCTTCTGTATAATGCGTCCTGTGCGACTACCCTTTTCCTGGGATGCGCTCACATGAGATCCCGATGTCACGGTTATGTGAGTTCCCAGTAACCTCAATCTTTCTTGCGACTCTTATGCGCGATTGCGTGCTTTAGCGCAAGAGCCATCGCTTTGGAAGCGACAAGTAACCTTGACATCTTCTCGTATTCTGAGAAATACAGAGGACTTTAAGAAGGCTTTTGAAAAACATCTAATATTACATATTTTTTACTTTTCCCTTCCAAATTCAACGAAATTGTTTTATCGAATGTAAATGTTCTAAAGTCTCAACATTTTCACGTGTAGCGTCGTCGTGAATCCATGTTATCTTTCGATATTCCATAGATAGTTTACATTAATTTTCATTATAATTATGTCACATTTCTACATAATACGAATGGCAATTCGGTATAATTAATATTTATAAATAACATTTACATTCTCTTATTTTATATATTACAAATCGAGATAATATAAGATAGAAAAGATCTCTAATGAATATAGAAGTATATACTTTGCTGTTGTAATGTCACTTGTTACAATACTATAAATTTAATATAAAATTAATCATTTTAGTAGCTATAAATATCCACAAGTTTAATAAATTGTAAAAGTGTCATACAGACATTCATCACATATTAATCTTATAAACAATATAAAATAAAGTTTTATCTATTTGATATCAATGTAAAGATTAATTATACTATGATGTAAAGATGGAAGGAAAATCTAAAATCATTATATTTCTTGTATTTATTATGAAAAAGGTCTGTAGTATGTGCTATTACTGTTTATTTTTATGAATTATTTTCATATAAACCATATTATAATATAAAAGTTTTTATAATTACATGAATCTATTTTTTTAATTTTTAAATATTTATGTTGAAATTATAAATTACTGTATGTTGCGTATTATATTTATGATAAAATATATATATATAATATGTATAAATATATATATATATATATATATATATATATATATTTTTTTCTTTGCTTCTTTACATTACTTCTTGTTCCTTATAATATTGTTTTAACATTATACTTGTTCTTTTTAGTCATTTGTTAAGAAAGTTGCTACTAAAGTAACAGACTTTATACCCCAACCATTATGGATCAGTAAATGGTTCAATACGTCTCAAGGAAATGGAGATATTTCAAATGATACTGAAAACCTTGAAGAAGTAGAACCAGAAGAGGATATAGAAAAGCCTCCACCATCAAAACGACCACGAATTCGTACAGATATTATCCATCCACCTGGAACATTTTCTGTTCGATCAAATGTTATAACATCAAATAATAAAACTAAAATTTCTAGAGGAAAATATTCTGTGCAAAATGATACGGTAAAATAAATTAAATGGTTGATAATTATGATATTTAAATGATTAAAGATAACTTTATAAATATAAAATTTCTAGAGAGATGATTTTCTTAAACCTTCTATGGCTGGACCCAGTGGGATAGGTCATTTAATATGTTCTACACCTACCACACAATTAGATAGCAGACCAGTAGCTACACAAAGGTCCGATTTAAATCTCCTAATTTCCACGTCAAATAATGGTACAGCCAATGGAATGGATGATAATTCAGAATCAAGCGAGAGTACTAGTGGTTGCAGCTCTCTTATACCGCAAACCAGTCGACAAGAAGCTCCTTCTCATGATGTTTATAATTCACCATTTGTTAATAGGAAACGCTTTATAGATGAGAAATTAACATTTAGTAAGAGAAATTTATATGTATCTTTGTTAATCATTTTATGACGTTACTTAAGAACTTACGCTATATTTTTATTTTAGCTAATCAGTTACAGTCACCAAGGACATTGTTTGTAGACAACAATCCTCGTGATACTTTAAGTAATCATAGGCCAAGTTTTAATGCATCTGTCATGACTAACACGCTGGACCGTGCATCTCGTTTGTTGTCCCCTTTTTATAGTGGAAATACCACCTTTGGAGGAGCGAATGCAGTTGAATTGTATAAACGAAACCAAGCAAAGTCTCTTCTACTCAATACAACTGATGTATGTATATGTTATATATTTTCATTTTTATATTTTTAATAACATGAGTTTTATAATTTTAGATTCAACTTAAAGTTCCAAAGAGACCAAGTGTCCAAGTCAAACCTTCAAATACAACGGTTGACCCATCAGGTATGAGTCAAACAGCGAGAAAAATACTGGAAGCTCTGGAACATTTTTCATCGCCTATATCAGATGCTAAGAAAATTCCATTAAAAAGCACAAATATTACTCCGTCTTCAATTAGTAAAAAACGTCAGCGAGAAGAAAATGAATCTCCATCTGCTCGTGTAGGATTACGGCCTCCAACGCGAGAATTAATTGTGCCAACTGTACCCGCTATAATTAAGATAAGAAGACGTGAAAAATTACAAGACACAACAGTGGCAGCACGAAAAATTGTTTCTGCTTATAGTGGACCACCGCCTCCTATTCAAGAATATCGTTTGGGGTAAGTTTTTATACTTAGGTTGGCATTAAATGATTAAATTCTAGTAACTTTCAAATTTTAATATCAGACATGTAAAATATATTTT